CGCAACCTCTGCCTTCTGAGTTCAAGCAATTCTCCTGCCTCAGCCTCCTGAGTAGCTGGGACTGCAGGCGCGCACCACCATGCCCAGCTAATTTTTGTATTTTTAGTAGAGACGGGGTTTCACCTTGTTGACCAGGATGGTCTCGATTTCTTGACCTCGTGATCTACCTGCCTCGGCCTCCCAAAGTGCTGGGATTATTGGTGTGAGCCACTGCGTTCGGCCTTTTAATTTTAGATTATAGAAAATTTCTATACAATAGAATAGTATAATAAATGCCCATGTACTCATCACGTAGCTTCAACAATTATTACCTGCAGGTGTCTCGGTCTGCCAACTTACTTCAGCCACAACCCTTATCCCTTAGCACTTGTTAAATCGCTTTTTAAAAAGCACCAAAATGTTAACAGGTGTTGTTTCTTGGTTATCAATTTTATATATAATTTATGCTTTCTTGATTTTACTTCTCAGTATCCTCCCAAATTTCCACAGTGACTATGAAGTACTTTTGTAATAAGAGAAAATGCTATTTTTAAATGATTGAAAAAAATGTCTTTCTTTTTCTTTTTTTTTAGAGAGGGGATCTCACTATGTTGCCCAGACTGGAGTGCTGGAGTGCCATCATTGTTCACAGGGATGACTATAGCGTATTATAGCCTTGAACTCCCAGGCTCCAGGGAAACTCCTGCCTCAGCTTCCTGAGTAGCTGGGACTAAAATGCAACCCCCCTCACCTGACTTGAAAACATGTATTTCTTTAAGGAGTATATTTTCAAATGCTTGATCCAGGAGTCATTCTTGGATCTGATCTCAGCCATTACTGATGGCTAAGAACAAGCCATCAGTAATCCTCTCCCCATGATTTCATATAGTTCACTAAGAGGAAGCAGAATAAAATTTGGGTTTTATTTTTGAGACAGGGGCTTGCTCTGTCATCCAGGCTGGAGTGTAGTGGTGGGATCATAGTTCTCTGCTGCCTGGTCCTGGGCTTAGGAATCCTCCCACCTCAGCCTCCAGAGTAGCTAGGACTATAAGTGCACACCACTGCACCCAGCTAATTTTTTATTTTTTGTAGAGCTGGGGTCTCACTATGCTGCCCAGCCTGGTCTTGAACTCCTGAGCTCAAGCGATCTTGCCACCTCTGGCCTCTCAAAGTGCTTGGCTTACAGGTGTAAGCCATTGCACCCAGTCAAAACATGGTTTTTAAAGCCTTCTTTTTTTTCAGAGGGAACGATCTCTATTAAGAAAAAACAAAACATTCTTTTGTTGGTAAGGCAGAATATTTGTAAACCTAGTAAACAAAAAAAGAAAAAACAGACAGTCCTCAACAGAGCTGGGAATATTAGTGCGGCTCTGCAGCAGAGAGTGGAGGATTCTTCTTTCCATGAGATTTTTTTTCCCTGAGGAAAATCAACCCCTAGCAGGAAATGCCAAAATTTAGTGCCTTGGCACTCCCTCAACAACTCATGACCCTGTGAATGACAGGGATGTCATTTTTACATTGGTTTCTAAGGACCGAGGGTCAGTATCACTGCGTATCAAGGCTGAATTAGAGAAACAGAGACTCCAGAGCAGCACTCTTAAGCTCTGGGCTGGATTATCTTTAAAAGAAATGCCAGATATAGGTGATGGGGGGATGGAGGCAGCAAAGCACATTGCCATATATGTACCTATGCAACAATTCTGCATGATCTGTACATGTACCCCAGAACCTAAAGTACAATAAAAAAATAAAATAACAAACAAAACCAGATTTAGCAAGATACAATTTACTTACTCTTGATAAAAAGAGTCAAACTAGGTAAAATAGTTGAAGAAATTTATTCTGAGCCAAATATGAGTGACCAATGGCCTGCAACACAGCCCTCGGGAGATCCTGAGGACACTGTGCCCAAGGCGGTCTGGCCTAAAATGTTTTCTACATTTTAGGGAGACACAAGGTATCAATCAATACATGTAAGAGGTACATTGGTTGGGTCTGGAAAGGTGGGACAATTAGAAGTAGAGGATTCCAAGTCACAGGTGAATTTAAAGATTTTCTGATTAACGGTTGAAAGAGTTATTATCAATAGAAAGGAATGTCTGGTTTACAATAGGGGTTGTGGAGACCAAGGTTTTATCATGCATATGAAGCCTCCAGGGAGCAGACTTCAGAGAGAATAGATAGTAAATCAATCTTTCTTTCTTTCTTTCTTTCTTTCTTTCTTTCTTTCTTTCTTTCTTTCTTTCTTTCTTTCTTTCCTTTCTTTCTCCTTCCTTCCTTTTCTTTCCTTCTTTCTTTCTTTCCTTCTTTCGATGGAGTCTCACTGTGTCACCAGGCTGGAGTGCAGTGGCATGATCTTGGCTCACTGCAACCTCCACCTCCCTGATTCAAGCAATTCTCCTGCCTCAGCTTCCTGGGTAGCTGGGACTACAGGCACCCACCACCACATCCAGCTAATTTTTTGTATTTTTAGTAAAGATGGGGTTTCACCCTGGTAGTTAGGGTGCTGAACTCTTGACCTTGTGATCCGCCTGCCTCGGCCTCCCAAAGTGCTGGGATTACAGGTATGAGCCTCTGCGCCCAGCCAATAAATATTTCTTAGCAGATGTAAAGAGTCTATTATATCAGTAATTCCAAAAGTGAGGAGGGTATAATAAGGTATGTTCAGCTCCTCCTTCCTATCATGGCCTGTACTAGTTTTTCAGGTTAACTTTGGAATACCCGGATGAGAGGAGGAGAATTATATTGTTTGTTTACAGTACTTTGTAATTCACCCATTCAAAGTGTACAATTCAGTGCTTTTTTTTTGAGAAGGAGTCTTGCTCTGTTGCCCAGGCTGAAGTATAGTAGCACAATCTCAGCTCACTGCAACCTCCACTTCCCAGGTTAAAGCTATTCTCCCGCCTCAGCCTCCTGAGTAGCTGGGATTAGAGGCACATACCACCCTGTCTGGCTAATTTTTATATTTTTAGTAGAGACAGCGTTTCCCCATGTTGCTCAGCCTGGTCTTGAACTCCTGACCCTGTGATCCACCCACCTTGGCCTCCCAATGCACTGGGATTACAGGTGTGAGGCCTGTTCAATGCTTTTTAACAAATTTATATAGTCATACTATCATCAAAACCTGGATTATGTTTTACAGTCCCTCAGAATCCACTGCTGTGTTGCAACTGTAATGAAGTTGCAAGTTCCAAGTTTGCCTGTTACCTATGCGACCAGGTTTTGTGTGCCTATGTTATTATGTGTTTCATAATACCTATGTGATTCTTAGAGCTGTGCTTAGGAATAATAACTTCTTCTCAAGTACACTCAATGTCATATTCTGCCCTTCGTAACTACAGCTACAGTTCAAACAGTCTCTACCAGGATTTAGAGATTTAAAGCTATACCCAACTGTTGGAAGTCAGTGGTCATATCAATTGATTTAGGAAATTCAGCAGGGTTGTTTACAGTATCATCAGTCCTTTAGACCCTGGCAAGAGGAGCCCCTGCTCTGGGGTCTGTGCTGTGGCCACACCCTAAACCAGGTATGAAAAGTCCATGGAGCTAAGGGGTCCCTGTACCTCTACTAACCATGCTGCAGTGCCCAAAACTGAATTCCCTGCTGATGGAACCCGAAGCCTGTTTCCATACCTGAACGGGTCTCTTCCTTGGGTCAGTCCTCCCTTTAGGTCTATCAGAAAATGACAGATCACTGGTGAGTTGGGTGACTACAGCTTGAGTTTGTGGGCTGGGTGTCCACACATATGCACAAAGCCCTACATGGTGTGGGATAGAACCTAGAGTGAAAAAGAGATGGGTTGTGGGCTGAGGGCTGGGGCTGGGTCTCTCTGCACTGCCACATCCACAACAGAATTTTGAGAAGTCTGAGAATTCTAAATTGGAGCCTGACCTTCTTCATAATAGTGTATTTGTCAAGGAAGGAGGATAAAACATTTTATTTAACATTTTATTTAACATTTATTTAACAGTTTGCTAAGCTGATTTAAAATTTTCCAACATTTAGCTGTATGGTATATGGACCTCCATTTATATGATTTCATTTATATTAAATGTCCAGAATAGACAAATCTATAATGACAAAAAAGATTAGTAGTTGCCAGAGGTTGGGAGGAGGGGAGAAAAAAAGCAAGTAATTGCTGACGGCTGTGGGGTTTCTTTCTGGAGTGACAACAGTGTCCTTGAATTCGATAGTGCTAATGGATCCATACTGTGAATATATTAAAAGCCATTCAAACTTTAAAAGTGTGGGGTTTTTTTGTTTTTGATTTTTGAGAGAGTCTTGCTCTGTCACCAGGCACCAGGCTGGAGTGCAGTGGTGCAATCTCAGCTCGCTGCAACCTCTGCCTCCTGGGTTCAAGCAATTCTCCTGCCTCAGCCTCCCAAGTAGCTGGGACTACAGGTGTGTACCACCATGCCCAGCTAATTTTTTTGTATTTTAGTGGAGATGGGGTTTCGCCATGTTAGCCAGGATGGTCTCGATCTCTTGACCTCGTGATCCACCCTCCTCAGCTTCTCCAAGTGCTGGGATTACAGGCGTGAGCCACCGCACTGAGCAAAAGTGTGGGTTTTATGGTAATTTAAATAACCTATCAAGCTATCACCAAAAATATACAGTGGGAGTTCTGAAATGCCACCCCAAAATATGATGCTTTGACATGCTGATTACTTTGAACTGATGACATTTCGGGAACAGTAGATGCAGGCAGAGGCTTTCTCTGATTTCTGCTTATCTGCCTAAGACAGACCAAGGGATCCTCCAAAAGGAACTCAATTGTCATAAATCCCCTCCCCTGGACCTTATCAACCAGGGAAGATTAACTTGGATCACAGAAGAGGAGCCTGGAGGTTGACACCATGCTGAGACAGTCACCTCTTCTTCTGAGGGCTGCTCTAAGAGAATCTTTATTACTTAGGAGGCTTTTTATTTGCATAACAAGACAACCTTTGTTCACCATACACTTCCTCCCCTCATATTTCCATAACTGGTGTCACCACTCCCCAACCCAGAAGCCCAAAGCCTCTGTTCCCTTCTGTAGCTCGGGGTGTGATATGAGGTTCAATCATCTGACCCTTCTTTGAATCTTCTATTTTGTGGGACTCGCATGGGTATGTACATAATTAAAAATGGATTTCCTCCTGTTAATCTGACTTATGTCAATTTAATTCATAGCTCAGCCAAGGAACTTACAAGGGTAGAGGGAAGTCATTTTTCACTCCCCTACAAGAACATTCTGCTGTAAAGGGGAGCTAAAAGTAATTTTTGTTTTAAATTCAACCAAACATAGGATTAATTCTTAAATGTGGAACCAAAAGGGTGAATTCATGCTTCTCTGAAATCTATATATGTAGCTGTCTCTATGTGTCTCTGTATATTGATGTTTTTCTATATATATAAAAATACATATATAATCAGTGAATTAAGATATCTAGTCACTCATTTACTCACCAAGTGATTGCAGGGGGGTGAGGAGGATGGGGGGCAGGGTGTGGTGGTGGGTTGCCAGAGAATGAAGATTATGCAAAAGAATCTAAGAAATCATACCTGCCAGGCCAGGCATGATGGCTCATGCCTGTAATGCCAGCACTTTGGGAGGCCAAGGCAGGCAGATTGCTTGAGGCCACGAGTTCCAGACCAGCCTGGCCAACATGATGAAATCCTACCTCTACTAAAAATACAAAAAGTTAGCTGAGTGTGGTGATGTGTGCCTGTAGTTGCAGCTACTTGGGTGGCTAAGGCAGGAGAATTGCTTGAACCTGGGAGGTGGAGACTGTAGGGAGCTGAGATTGTGCCACTGCACTCCAGCCTGACGACAGAGCAATACCCTGTCTTGAAAAAAAAAAAAAATAGCTACCTTCCAAGAGTTCATGGTATACTTGAATCTCCATAGGCTAGTTATTCAAGAGGGTATGTAATGTAACTCAACAATGCCACAATTACTTACATTCAGTTCGGAGAATTACCTCAGTTTGCCCAACTTGTAACTGTGAAAAAAAAAAAAGAAAGAAAATTTTAGGACCTTCCAAATTTATTATGCCAAAGGGAAGAGTCAAGCCCTGGAAACCAAGTCACATGGCCTGGCTGTTTTTCTTCTCTGGTGCATGAGTGTTGCTTCCTGACCTTTTTGTTGATGTTATACATTAACCAGGCTCTCCATTCTTTATTCAAACCTAGGCTAAATGATGTTGGAGATGGAGACTCTTGTGATTGTTACCTCTTTACAACAGAATATTAAACAACCCCCTTCGAGTGTAATAAATGGTAGTGAATTAAATCTTCTGAGTATATTAGCTTTATATAGAAAATGCTGTTATTCTGTACAGCACACCTGTGGTTCCCTAAATAAACCACCCTCACCTTTCCCTACATTGGGGAGCACTGATTAATATTCTTTTTTTTTGAGATGGAGTTTCGCTGTTGTTACCCAGACTGGAGTGCAATGGCATGATCTCGGCTCACTGCAACCTCCGCCTCCTGGGTTCAAGCAATTCTCCTGCCTCAGCCTCCCGAGTAGCTGGGACTACAGGCGCGCACAAATCAAAAAAAATTTTGACTGTGGTCTACAGGAGCGCACCCAGCTAATTTTTGTATTTTTAGTAGAGACGGGGTTTCACCTTGTTGACTAGGATGGTCTCGATCTCTTGATCTCGTGATCCACCCACTTCGGCCTCCCAAAGTGCTGGGATTACAGGCATGAGCCACCATTACTATTCTTTGGTGTCTGTGTTTACCTGATGGCTGCTCTCACACTTTGCACTTGAAAAAGCTCTTTTAACTGGATGCTGAGCCATTCGATTATAGATTGACATTTTGATAATCCAGAGACTTTAAGCGGGCCTCCTGAGATCTGTGCCTCTTTGCTGACATTCGGAGCTTTGGTGTCTCCAGGAGCGGCTTTTGCTCATCCCACCTCATTGGAACCGGCAGGGGTCTCTGGCAAGGCTCCTCTCAGGTTTGGAATCTCCCTGACTTTGACTGAGATTCAGACATTATGCAAGCCATCCAGTTCTATGCTGGACAGAGCTGGAATTGACGCTCTACTTTAAGTTAGAAGTTTTGTTTGCTTGTTCTGGCTTTCACAGATTTATGATGTTCAGTTTTCTTTGAGGTTAAGGTTTGTTTGTTGAACTACTTGCTAGACTTTATATGGCTCTTCTGTCATTCAAATTTCGTCAGAGAACAAAATTGGTTCTCTCCCTGAGAAGAGAAAGTGAATGTTTGTGGCTTCAGGTAAATTTGTGATTTTCAGCTGGGCCCAGTGACTCGCACTTGTGAGCACTTGGGAGACTGATGCAGGCAGATCACTTGAGACCAGGAGTTCAAGACCAGCCTGGGCAACACGGTGAAAACCCTTCTCTTCTAAAATGACAAAAATTAGCTGGGCATGGTGGGGTGCGCCTGTAATCCCAGCCACTTGGGAGGCTGAGGCAGGAGAATCACTTGAACTTAGGAGATGGAGGTTGCAGTGAGCCCAGATCGTGCCACTGCACTCCAGCCTGAGTAACTGAGTGAGACTCTGACTAAAAAAAAAAAAAAAAAAAAAAATTTGATTGTGGTCTTAAACTGGACCCAGGTTGGTGACCCAGGTTTTGGAGCTCAGTTAAAATTGACATTTAAGTTTTCTTCTTGAGTGACCAAAAAGTCATAAAAGGGTTCGTATGAGGATATAAGTCCCAAATATAAAAGACCTTGGTCCTCCCAGAAGAAAAGCACCTTAAGTGATGGAGGTCACATAGGAATGTTGGAGTTCATAGCTTCGGATGTATAACTGTTCTAGGGAAATCCCAAAGAACAGTATACAAGGAAATCTTCTCAACCTGTTGGGCACACATAAAGGGTTGGGCTCCCAGTCCCTCAAACCCCCAGAAATTTCTGGGTTTTATTGGGACATATAAGAGGGTTTCACTTGTGGGTGAAACCTTGAGGAGTGATCACTGTTAAACAGCACACTAGACCCAAAACATCTTTCTCTTTCAAGCTTTGGTCAATTTAAAAGAGGATACAAATTATGGACAACTGTTCATCTAAAATGAAATCCTCTTTAAGGGAAGACCTCCTTTTAGAAACTCCAGCTGAATTTACGTACAAGACTTATGGTGCCACCTCCTGTGTGTGTGTGTGTGTGTGTGTGTGTGTATACACATCAATATATATGTATATATGCATGTCGGTATGTTTTATGAGACAGGGTCTCGCTCTGTCAGACTGGAGCACAGTGGTGCTATCTCAGCTTACTGCAGCCTCCACCTCTGGGGCTCAAGCAATCCTCCCACCTCAGCCTTCTGATGCAAGTGGATGGCACAAGAGGCACACCCACATGCCAGGCTAATTTTTCAAGTTTTTGTAGAGATGGTCTTACTGCATCATCCAGGCTTGTCTCAAACTCCTGAGCTCAAGTGATCCTCCTGCCTCAGCCTTCCAAAATGCTGGGATTACAGGTGTGAGCCAACGCATCCAGCTACCTCCTGTCAATATTTGGAAAAATGGTCTTACTTGAGCCGAGAAGATCCTGAATTACAATGGCAAAAGTGAGGTACCTGTGAAATGCCTAAGTTAGTTTGCTCACATGCACAATTAGAAAAAGACAACTCTAGAATTAAACAATATAATTGGGAGAGTTATTTCCAATGCTACTAAGAAGCATGCAAAAGAGGCTGACACAATTCTTTTCCTATAGAAAAAGAATGAAAAGCTCTCTAAAACTGTTAATTCAGAAAAGCTGCTGAAACTGCTGCTTCTCCTCCTTCTGCTCCCCCTTCTTTCTATGCCTCCTTAACAAAACTACCTCACCCAGACTGACCTTCTCTTCCTTCTCCTCCACTTGCACCTGCTCCCACTTTTTTGATTCCATTTCATGAACATCCAGCATCTGGCAGAGGGCAGCCTGTTTTAGTCTAAGTTATGGTCTAAGGTAGAACTTAGAAGCAGAGTTAAATAATTCCCCGACCCTCACCAGGGTCCTGTTGGTTTTGCTAAGGAATTTGAATTAAGTATCTGAGTTTATGGCCTTGGTTATTCTGATTCCTATCAACTAACTCACAAAGGCCGGGCACGGTGGCTCACGCCTATAATCCCTGCACTTTGGGAGGCCAAGGCAGGTGGATCACGAGGTCAAGAGATCAAGACCATCCTGGTCAACAAGGTGAAACCCCGTCTCTACTAAAAACACAAAAATTAGCTGGGCATGGTGGTGCGTGCCTGTAGTCCCAGCTACTCAGGAGGCTGAGGCAGGAGAATTGCTTGAACCCAGGAGGCGGAGGTTGCAGTGAGCCGAGATTGTGCCATTGCACTCCAGTCTGGGTAACAACAGCAAAATTCCGTCTCAAAAAAAAAAAAAAAAGATTAGAAAAAAGCCCATTATAGAAATTTCTTAGAAGATGTTCATAAATGCTCAGAAGAGGACTGTAGGCAGTCACACAAACAGCAAAGGCATTGCTTCAAGCCATCCTCACTGTGTTTCAAAGTGTAGTTGGCTGCAGTAAAATACAATGTCAACAAATCCAGATGAGTCCGTAATGTCACATTTTGAGAGGTTTAAGTAACAATATTCAGGTTTATCTGAAGGAAGCTATGTTAATAATCAAAATGATACTCTTCACAACTCCAGTTTTATAAATGGGTTAGAGGAAGAATTAGCACTAATAGTGAAAAGACAAAGCCCTAGCTGGGCCACTTCTCAAACCTCATAATTTGGTCAGTCTTGCTGACCAGTTGTCTCAACTGAAGATGAAACTGAGAGGGAAGCCAGACAAAAGAGCAAGGCTAATAAAATTATGAATTTACAGTCGAAACAAATGTCCACACAATTTGGACCTTCAAAATATCCTTATAAACCCCCAAACAGACCTAACCATATACTTTCAATTAATACAAAAAGCCTGATCACTTTTAAAAGAACTGCCAAAACCTAAAAAGGAAAGAACAACAGGTGGAGGCAGAAAATAAAGAATGGGGGTGTGCCATGGAACTTAAAGGGGTCTTTCCTTTTCTCCTTACTAACACTGCGGGAGAAAAGACATTGTTTAAAACTCCCCTTACAGTTTTTCATCCCTGTTCTGTGGAAGCATTGCTAAACTCATACCACACTCAACATTATTCAATTTGTAGACTAGTTTCATACAAAATTTCACTTCTTTCAGCTTCTCACATCACCTCTCTAGATATAATAAGCTAAATATTGCAACTCTGTTTCCTTCACTTTCAGATGAAACAACACAATTGTGTAACTGTAACTGCAAACTTTGCTTTTCCTAAGACTGATCTGCAAGAGACTCTTCCTACTTAGGCTGATGTTGTTTGGTTTACAGACGGACGTTACGTAATGGATGAATCTGGAACTTACTGTATAGGTTTACGTAATAATGTTTTCAACCGAAGAAATAGAAAGTGCTTACCTTCCAGAAGCCACTTAGATTAGCTCCTGTCTTTGTACCACAACTGGGTATTGAAGACGTCATTTGCCATGTAGAGGCCCAAACCTCCTACACGCAAAAGACCCTAAATGACAGCCACATGAATGTCTCATTATTAAATAATGAATTTACTCTCACGAGAAGGCTGTATTACAAAACGATATGGTCTTAGACATACTCACTGCAGCCCAAGGAGGAACTGTGCCAAGACAGAAACTGAGGAATGCTGTGTTTATAACCCAGATGAATCAAATAACATCACCAAATTAATAACTGATTTGAAAAACTCGAGTAATTAACCTTTTGGATCCAAACCCTTTCTAAGCTACCAGTTAAGTAGTTGATTTGGATCTTGGAGAACTTGGTGGCAAGAGCTTTTATGTATTTTAGGAATTATATTCATAGTTTGTGTTTTGTCTTGCCTTTGTCTGCAGAGCTGTTGCGGTATTTATCTGCAATTAGGTCAACATACAGCTGAGAAAATTAGAACAATGACTACTCAGAGAATTGTTTGATTTAAGAGGCAGCTATGTAGCCTGAATCAGGTTCCAGAACTACTTTCTCTTGTTGCTTTCTAGTTCGAACTTGGTCCTGAACTGAATCTTCCAAGACTGAATCTTGTTGCTTTATAGTTCAGACTTGGTCCTTTCCAATTTCCCCTCCTCCCTGGGACGTGACTGCCTAGGAAGGAGCCTTCCTAGTGACGTGAGGTTTGATCAAATACAGGACCTGAGAATATAATTCTTCTATGATGCTTTTTCTGAAAGCGTTTGAAGAAAAGGGGGAAATGTGAAAATATTTTAGCACCTTCCAAATATATTATGCCAAGGGAAAAAGCTAAGCCCCATAAACTAAATCACAGAACATGGCTGTTTTTCTTCTCTGGTGCATGACTGTTGCTTCCTGATCTCTGTGTTGTTATATATTAACCAGATTTTTAATTATTTATTCAGACTAAATGACGTTGGAGATAGAGACCCTTGTGATTGTTACCTCTTTAGAATGGAATGTTAACCCCCCCCTTAAAGTGTAGTCAATAGTAGCGAATTAAATCTTCTGTGTACGTTAGCCTCATCTCGAAAATGCTGTAATGCTTTACAGCACCCCTGTTTTTGGCGATATAAACGACCCCGATAACCATTCTTTGCTGTCAGTGTTTGACAGGATAGCCACTCTTACACTTTGCACTTGAATAAACTCTTTTATCTGGATCCCTGAGTCTTTTGGTTACTTTAGGCTGACATTAGTTAACTAACTAGTTAGTTCTGCAGTCTGTTAATTCTGAGGGGTTGACCAGAGGTCCTCTAAGGTCCCTTCCAACTCCTAACATTCTACGATTTCATGAATGTAGACTATGGTTGACCTGTATTAACTGGGTTCAGGAGTAAGATAAATTAAGTCATCCAATCGACAAATATTTATTACAGTTTACTATTGTGTGTAGGTGTATCTGTGGAAATAGGCAACTGTATTTTGGTGCACTGCTGCCTCCAAATCGCAGATCTACAACTTTTTCAGCAGAAATTTTCTAAGCTTCCCGCACTAGCCAGAGAGAGAGATTGTGCGTCGGACGCAGCCAAGAGTTGCTAAGGAGTCCGACTTGGTCCAAAACGGAAGTGGTCCCTGAAAATTACTTTCCCAGGAAACTTACATTTGAAAAACTACGCTATTCCAATTCGCCTTTTCCTAAAGTAAACTCATAAATAGAGACATAACCAAACTTTCGCTCTCGGCGCAGCAGAGAACGACGCTCTCCTCCCGAGAGGAACCACTGCTCTTCCACGGCGGAAGCTGCATGGAACCAAGAAGCCGCGGGTGCTGGTTCTCCAACGAGGCTTTTTCTCCCGACGGACCAGCCTCCCGGCGGGGTTGCCGTGGAAACAGAGCGTGCTTTGTGGATGCGGCGAAACGCTGTGGCGCGGCCTTTGCTGTCTGTCTGCGGAGGGAACTCACAACACCGACGTCAAGATGGTTAGTGGCTCTGAATAATGAGGGAATACTTTGAGTAGGTCCTGATTCTGGCGATTAGAGGTTCCCAACACACTTCTGTGTAAATCTAGGTGTGTCCGCAGAGGGTAATCTCCTGCTCTCCCTGTGTTCCCACGGTGGACAGGGATGTAAATACCTCGATGCTTTCTTCCCTCCTGCTTCTCCATTTACCCACATCTAAACCACACGTGGGGTGGGAAGCAGAGGAAGGGGAAGCTGAGATGACAGAAGCTATGCGAAAGCATCTTTTGCCGCACTCGAACCAGAGAAGATAAAGTTGGGAGTAGCTGTTTGGTCCTTCCTAAGTATTGGGTGATGGCTCTTCTGGTAGAATACCTGTTTATAAAACGAGTTTGAATGGGCTTCCCTGGGGTTCGTTGCTACGGATTTGACTTATAAATTACAGAGCTGTCACACTCAGTTTAAATCTGATTGTTGGAATTGGACCGTACAGCTGTCCTTGTTTCTTTCACAGATGCTTTCAAGGGCCAAACCTGCTGTAGGCGGGGACGTCCAGCACACTGACAAAAGAAAGAAGAAAGGTAGGAAGATTCCAAAACTAGAGGAGCTTCTTTCACAAAGAGATTTCACTGGAGCTATTACCCTATTGGAGGTAATGTCCAAAAACGTTGCTTCTTGGTGGGTGAATACTGGACTGTATATGAATGCTTGGGTGCATGCTGGTTGCTATGCTGTTGAAATAGATGGGTACATTCTGGGGCTTCCTGTACACATCCCCTGTAAATCTAGTCAGGCACAGATTCCAGATTCTAAGTTAACTATAAACCTGATAAAAGATGAACTAAAAAACTAATTTCTTGAGGGCCACTTTTGATTATGTCTAGGTCACTGATGATGATTATAATCTAAAAATATGGAGGGACATTTAATACAATGTCAGTTAACACATTGCTTATCCCAACCCTTGACTGATCTATGATTTTTTCCTATTATGTGTTCTAAAATTTTGCTCAAATTTAAGTAATTCTAACATGCTTATGGTTGAAAATATTATAGCCCCAGAAAATATTTCAAATCTCCATGGCAGTAGTTCTCACCTATTAATATACATTGGAATTACCTAGGGTACTTAATAGGATATAAATTCCTGGGCTCCTGCTCTAGGTCTGCAGTGGTGCTCAGGAATCTGCATTTTTTTTTTTTTTTTTTTTCAGACAGAGTCTTGCTCTGTTGCCAGGCGCCAGGCTGGAGCACAGTGGCACAGTCTTGGCTCACTGCAACCTCTGCCTCCTGGGTTCAAGCAATTCTCCTGCCTCAGCCTCCCCAGTAGCTGGGACTACAGGCGCATACCACCACACCCAGCTAATTTTTGTATTTTTTGTAGAGACGGGGTTTCCCCATGTTGGCCAGGATGGTCTCGATCTCTTGACCTGGTGATCCGCCCACCTCAGCCTCCCAAAGTGCTGGGATTACAGGCTTGAGCCACCGCGCCCCGCCAGGAATCTGCATTCTAAGGCGCGTAGTCTAAGTGCTTCTGATGGAGATGGTCCCAGGGACTGCGCTTTGAAAAACTGCTTTGTGGGAAACACATGTTTTAGGAGAGTGAAGTTTGCACCAAAGAATGAAGAGTTCTGACAGCATGTTCTGGTTGTGTTGTGCCAGTTATTTCTCTTAAAATGCTACTCCATCCGTATTACTCTGAATCTACCATTAATAATTGTTATAATTTGGTTTACATATATTTCTTCATCTTCCATGTATAGTTTGCTTTATTATTTATTTATTTATTTGAGATGGAGTTTTACTCTGTCGCCCAGGCTGGAGTGCAATGGCACAATCTTGGCTCACTGCAACCTTCACCTCCCGGGTTCAAGCAATTCTCCTGCCTCAGCCTCCTGAGTAGCTGGGATTACAGGCCCCCGCCACCACGCCTGGCTAATCTTTTGTATTTTTAGTAGAGATGGGGTTTCACCATGTTGGCCAGGCTGGTCTCCCAACTCCTGACCTCAGGTGATCCACCCACCTCAGCCTCCCAAAGTACTGGGATTATAATTCAGTTTACATTATAATATAAACCGGCCTAGTTCTCTTTCTTACTAGTGTTCTGGTATTGAGCATGTTGTTTAGCTTTTTGGGCGTCAGCTTTCTTATCTTTACAGTGGGGAAGTTGGCATGGAAGCACCTTCTAGTTCTGTGAATCAATGTACTGAGTGCTGTGTATATGTCTATCTTCATCAGTCTGTTTTCCTCTTTTTTCTTTAAGACAATGACACCTTTTTTCTATTGTATAACACCAGGTTGCCTTTATTTTATTTTATTTTTGAGACAGGGTCTCACTCTGTCATCCAGGCTGGATTGCAGTGATGTGATCGTGGCTCCCTGCAGCCTCAACCTCCCAGGGCTCACATGATCCTCTCACCTCAGCCTCCCAAGTAGCTGAGACTACAGGCATGTGCCACTATGCCTGGCTAATTTTCATCCAGTTGGTTATTTGTGTGTGTGTGTGTGTGTGTGTGTGTGTGTGTGCGTGTGTTTGTGTGTGTGTGTGTGTTTGTGGAGATGGGGGTCTCACCATGTTGCCCAGGCTGATCTTAAACTTTTGGGCTCAAGGGGTCCGCCTGCTTCTGGCCTCCCAAAATGCTGGGAGTTACAGGGCCAGGCTGCCTTTAAGTTCACAGGGAAGCTCTGCTGTATGCTTACATTCTTAGGTAGTTAGTTGGAGTACCATGCTGCATGGGAATGGAAACTGCTATGGTTTCCGGTGAGGTAGTCTCATGCACTTTCCTGTAGCTCCAGGGAATTCAGGGAGACCTCAGGTGAGAATTTCTCCAGAATTAAGACACTATTTTCAAATTCACTGCATTTGGTGTGAGGAGGATTTCTAATGTTGTAGAGTTAGCTACAGGAGTAAATTCTTATCCCAGATAAGAAAATATCAAAGAGATGTCTTCATCTTATAGTGACTGAGGCATCTGAAGTTCTGTAGTGACGCTCCGTAAGTATGTGTTGGCTCACTATTTGACTTATCACCCTGTAGAGTGAAAAAAAAATCTTACCTTACCGTGAAAATTCAGAATTCTGTGTCAAGGTCTTAGTTCTTTCCTCCAAAATAAGGCTTTTCTTTTGTGGGCAGAGGAATTCATAAAATATTTGTCCACAGTGGACATAAGTGAGGCCAAGTCTTTTGAACATCCTTAACTCTTATAGGTCTGGTAACCTAGCCTGCTCAATGGTAATAGAAAGATTTGATGGCAAGCCGGCGCGGTGGCTCAAGCCTGTAATCCCAGCACTTTGGGAGGCCAAGGCGGGTGGATCACGAGGTCAAGAGATCGAGACCATCCTGGTCAACATGGTGAAACCCCGTCTCTACAGAAAATACAAAAAATTAGCTGGGCATAGTGGCGCGTTCCTGTAATCCCAGCTACTCAGGAGGCTGAGGCAGAAGAATTGCCTGAACCCAGGAGGCGGAGATTGCGGTGAGCCGAGATTGCGCCATTGCACTCCAGCCTGGGTAACAAGAGCAAAACTCCTTCTCAAAACAAAAGATTTAATGGCTTGTCCTCAGTGAAAGGTTATAACCTATTAGTAAAAATATGTGGCCGGGCGTGGTGGCTCACGCCTATAATCCCAGCGCTTTGGGAGGCTGAGGCGGGTGGATCACGAGGTCGAGAGATCAAGACTATCCTGGTCAACAAGGTGAAACCCCGTCTCTACTAAAAATACAAAAATTAGCTGGGCATGGTGGTGTGCGCCTGTAGTTCCAGCTACTTGGGAGGCTGTGGCAGGAGAATTGCTTGAACCCAGAAGGCAGAGGTTGCGGTGAGCCGAGATCGTGCCATTGCACTCCAGTCTGTGTAACAACAGCGAAACTCCATCACAAAGAAAAAAAAAAAAAGGTAAAAATATGTGTGTGCTAATGCAACAGGACTGAAGTGGGAGGTTAAATGCAGTAGAGCACAAGGGGTGACAGCATGGGCTTTGGAGTCAGACATTTCTTTAAGTCCCTGCCAGCACACATACTGGCTGTGGGGCCTTATGTGAACTCATGGTTGAGCCTCTCTAACCTTCAGTTATTTGGCTTTAAATATTTTACACAATCCTGTTCCTTATATATCACCCAGAATTGTTAGCCGACTCAAATGCTTTTTGGAGTACAATATCAGTAAATACAGAATGCCAAATGGGAAATATTTGAAAATATAAATTTCTGTGACAATTAGAAGGTAATTGTCCTGTTTAATTAAACATCATATTGTCATGCTTCTAATACTTAGATTGCCTGTTGTTCATCAGTAACTCAACATAGCATTTTTTTTAAAACAGAGAGTTTACTATTCAAAGTTTTTAATGATTTTTTAAAATACATTTTTAACCTGAAGTTCAAACGTCATGTTGGGGAACAAGAAGAGGATACTAATTTGTGGATTGGATATTGTGCCTTTCACCTGGGTGACTACAAGAGAGCTCTGGAGGTTAGTGTAAAAAAAAAAACCATTTTTTCCTAACAGAAGTGTGTTTAAAATGTTATTAAACTTTATATTATAATAATACATGTCCGTGGTAAAATTCAAACAATGCAGATGGAAAAAAAAGAAGTTACCTATTTGTGTTCCTCAATTATATTTGTTAATGAAGGCAACCACTGACTTTTTAGAAATGTATCACTTAAGTGGTTGTCTATATTGTAATATGCTCCATTACAGTAGTTCCCTCTTGTCCGTGGTTTTGTTTCCCGGGGTCAAGCTCAGTTACCCAAGGTCAATCTCAGTCCAAAAATAGGTGAGTACAGTATAATAAGATATTTTCAGAGAGAGAGAGAGAGTGCGCGCAGAAAGAGACCACATCCTCATAACTTTTATTACCATATGTTGTTATAGTTCTGTGTGATTATCAGTTATTGGTGTTAATCTCTTATTGTGCCTAACTTATAAATTAAACTTTATCATAGGCGTGCATGTGTAGGAAAAAACATGGTATAGATAGGATTCAATACTACCTAAGGTTTCAGACATCTACTAGGGATCTGTCCCCCATGGATAAAGAAGGATGACTGTATATGTACCTGTATCTTGTATACGTTTTACTTTACATGCATGCTAATCAGATTGTACAACATATTGGTATTAGGATTTATTAAGTAAATCTTCAGAACAGGAAAATTAAGCCATTTTGATAAAAACTTGCATGAGTCTTCTCTCAAGAGAATTTCACTTTTCTTTTGCTTGGTTATTTTTAGACATAGGAACGATTATATTATCTTTATATTTTTGCAAGTAGAATTGTTTTGGAAATTGTTTTTCTTGGTCATTGTAAACCCTACCCATCTACAATAATTAATCAATAGGATTATGGATTTAAATAAAATTATACACGCCTTACTTCAAGTAATTTTTAATTCACAAATGAAATTGCTTAAGCATTTCCTACATATTCTTATTCTCAAGATGTAATCTAAGCAAATTTGAAGAACCTGCATAACTAAAATGAAAATATTCAAGGACAGGTAATGAGGAGGTGAGCTGTAGAACAAAGGAACAGAGTTGGTGAAGGAAAAGGGAAGATGTGCAAAGGGCAGAATACAGGGTGATAATATTTGTAAAAGGCGTAGGAGGAAAGGAAGAACAACCCACGTGTTGTAAGAAACAACACCTGGGAAAGACTGATCAAAAGTAAGACTACATGGAAAATGTCATTGACAAAGTGAATCTCTGAAAGTGTCCTTGGCAGGAAAAACAAAAAATTTAAAAACTATGAAGCCCCCACACACATATAAAAAAAGCCAGAAAACAATTAGAATGAAATGGAATTTGTAGTGTATTAAAGCCATCAGATTTTAAGTTAACTGAACATAGGACTTTCTTAAGGGGATCTTGTATGTCTTTTTAAGTTAGCAAAAATAAAATAGTTCAGTTACTCTTTGTTTCTGTTGTTTGTTAGTCCCTATCAGTATTAATTGGGGGACAAAAACCACAAGTATAAGATCATATGGACAGTAGCCCTGCAAATGTAGGATTGAACTTTAGCTTCAGTATTTAACCTTTTCAGATATAGAAAAATTGCAAAGTGTGTAGGATTCACTAAATGTTAAATTGCTTAATCTCAGTATGAAATCCTATTTCATTACGGAAGAATGGCCCATCAGTTGCTTTGCTGCCAAAACAAGATCACTGCTTACTGTATATTTCAGGAATATGAAAATGCTACAAAAGAGGAAAATTGTAATTCTGAAGTCTGGGTGAACCTAGCTTGCACTTACTTCTTTCTTGGGATGTATAAACAAGCCGAAGAAGCTGGATTTAAAGGTAAAAGGGCTCTTTTTATCTGATATTTTTCACTCATAGTAAGAGTCGTTTTGAAGATTTTAAAACTTAGTATATTCCTTTTTCTATTGAGGAAAAAAAAAGATTGACATTAGAAAGCTAAAAAAGATAGCTTTAATCCTCAAAGAATATTGGATTTGAGTAACTTTATGTTTAAAGAGAGAGTTAGCCAGGCATGGTGGCTCATGCCTGTAATCCCAGCACTTTGGGAGGCCTAGGCAGGTGGATTGCCTGAGCTCAGGAGTACAAAACCAGCCTGAGCAACATGGTGAAACCCTATTTCTACTAAAAATACAAAAATTAGCCGGGTGTGGTGGCAGGTGCCTGTAATCCCAGCTACTCGGGAGGCCGAGGCAGGAGAATCGCTTAAACCCAGGAGGCGAAAGTTGCAGTGAGCTGAGATTGTGCCACTGCACTCCAGCCTGGGCAACAGAGTGAAACTCTGTCTCAAAAAATAAAAAATAATAAAATTAATGCTACACCTCACCAGGCTATAGCCAAAAAGCAGAAGGATGAAGGAAGAGAAGGGGCAGGGTGTCTTTCTAGGCCCTGTCGTGGGAGAATAGGCATGCTGTTCGTGGTAGTTAGGTAGAGTTTTGTTCAGACTTTTATGGCTGTGGACTTTGTGGCTGCTTTTCCTGTTTCTGAGTGAAAAGCCCAGCAATTTCAGCTTGAAGAATCCAGAAATCGTTTTTTCTGCTTTCTTATGGATATTCATCTCAGGGCAATTGTACTCAAATTTGAAAATAAGAATAAAAGGGAAACATGGTAGAAAAAGTTAGAGTATGAACCAACTTATGTTCAAGAAAATGCAGAGAAAAGTGGGCGCTGTAATATTTGATAGGGAAGAATGTATTCAAGGTACAATTAATTTATATGTATAAAGAATTTCAGCTGGGCCAGATGCTGTGGCTCACACCTGTAATCCTAGTACTTTGGGAGGCCAAGGTGGGTGGATCACCTGAGGTCAGGAGTTCAAGACCAGCTGGCCATCATGGTGAAACCCCATCTTTATTTAAAAAAAAAAAAAAAAAAGAATTTCAGCTCAAATTCATGGCAAATGTGGAACTTGAATTTTTTTTTTTTTTTTTTTTTTTAAGACAGGGTCTCACTATGTTGTCCAAGCTGGAATACACTGGCTATTCATGGGTATGAGCATAGCATCCTATAGCCTCAAACTCCTGGCTTCAAGCCAGCCTCCAGCCTCTGTCTTCTAAGTAGCTGAGACTACAGACACACCCGCCATCATACCCAGCAAAGCCTTTCTTGATTTGGACCCAAATTGTTTCATATGTGCTTGTGTAGTTTTTCCTAATTTCATTATAAGGTCCTAATGTTACTTACTTTATCTCATATTTTTAGGCTTTATCTGTGTTAAGAACACTGTTAGACACATAAAAGGTGATCACGGCATCTATCTCTATTTCTATATTTTTTTTATTTCTTATAGATTGAAGTATGACTTTTTCTGTAAAAGAGGTAGAATTGGGTATCCAGAATCAGGAAGTTTTCCAAGAGTGCGAAGGATATTTGGAACTTAAAAGCTGTTAATACTTTTGCTTGACGGCCTGTTTCGATGTGGCACATAATTATGCTAGAAAATCTGTGGAATAGAGACTGGGCTAGTATTTAGGAAAATATGGTAGTATAATTGTGGAAAAGGAAATAGCAGAAGGAATGAACAAAGAATACTGGGACTAGGAGCTGAGTGAGAGTGGATTCATATATACATTGAAATGACCATGGTGTCTATTACCAGTGTTTGGTTTGGTATGTTAATAACACAGAGGCGAGCTGCTACTCTAACCATGTGTGTGGAGTGTTGTGTTGTGGATCACCGTAATAGGATCAGGTAGAATAAGCAGTGGAGAAGAGCGAAATCTTAGCACATTTCTCTTCTGGTTCTTGATGCTGTTTCTGCTACTGCAGGTGGAGACCAGACTCAAACAATATATATTCTAGCAGAGACATACCTAGGATCAGATAAGTAAAGATTTGAGAAGATCATCCAAGTTTCATTTCATTCCTACAAGGGACTGCTAGACTTAGGCTGTTGAGTTCTTTAATAAGCAGCCTGGACTTTTTTTTTCAGCTTCGAAAAGCCGACTCCAAAACCGCCTCCTCTTCCACTTGGCTCACAAGGTATTTATGTTCTCATTTCACATTGGTTTGTTTTAAAAATATTTTTCTTTTTCTTCCTTCATGTTACTAACACTAGTGAGAGATAATTAATTAGAAATTATTTTTAATAATTTTCTAGAACAAGTGAAATATAACTGTTAATTATATAGGATTTTCTCCTCTATCAGTGTTCTTTTTTTTTTTTTTTTTTTTTTTTGAGTCTTGCCCTGTTGCCTGGCTGGAGTGCAGTGGCACCATCTTGGCTCACTGCAATCTCTGCCTCTTGGTTTCAAGAGATACCCCTGCCTTAGCCTCCCGAGTAACTGGGATTGCAGGCATGCACCACCATGCCCAGCTAATTTTTTGTGTTTTAGTAGAGACGAGGTTTCACCATCTTGGCCGGAATGGTCTCAATCTCCTGATCTCGTGTTCTGCCTGCCTGGGCCTCCCAAAATGCTGGGATTACAGGTGTGAGCCACTGTGCCCGGCCCAATGTTCTTTACCCTCTTAATTTATTCAGAGATGTTAGGTTTTATTTCTCCTTAAGCCTGGTCTAAACTTCAGAGATGTTAGGTTTTATTTCTCCTTAAGCCTGCATAGTGGCTCGCACCTATAATCTTAGCACTTTGGGTGGCCGAAGCTGTTAGATCACCTTAGGTCAGGAGTTCAAGACCAGCCTGGCCAACGTGGTGAAACCCTGTGTCTACTAAAAATACAAAACAAATTAGCTAGGCGTGGTGGCACACACCTTTAATCCCAGCTACTGGGGAAGCTGAGGCAGGAGAATCACTTGAACCCAGGAGGCAGGAGTTGCAGTGAGCTGAGATTGCACTACTGTACTCCAGCCTGGGCAACAGAGCAAGACTCTGACTCAAAGAAAAAAGTTTAGTTTGTGTCAACTATCCTATTATTTCTTAAATAATAGGATATTTCTAAATAGACTCAGAGACACCTTGTCCTGATTCCTAGAAATAAATATACACTTTTCAGAATTGCTATATGGTAATAATTTTGATAATGATAAAATTATTTTTTAAATAATAGTTTTTCAAATTTAAATTTTTAAATAATTGTTTAATATATAAAATTTTTTATAGCATTCCACCAAATGAATCATATGTGTCATTATTTATTCAACATTTCCTAGTTATTTGACTTTTAGATTTATAATTTTTAGAATTTATAAAAATGTCACTCTGAACATCTTAGAAATGGACATGCCTATTGGGTATAAGCAACTTCAAAGCTTTTAATTGATATTGCTAAGTTGTTTTACAGAAAGTTTAATCACCCACAGGCATTACATGAAAATAATTATTTTTGGTACACTTAGAAATTCCACATCATAATTGTCACTTTGTCTCTTTCTCTTTTAAGTTCTGCTTTACATGTTTTTCAGACTCTATCATTAAGTGCACACAAACTTAGAATTGCTAGTAGACTGTCTAGCAATAATGTCTTCCTAGTAGACTGAAATATATACTATCATGAAATGTCTCTCATCTCTAAAAAACTTCTCAGGACATATTTGTAAGCTATACCTGCTCTCTTTTGGGTAGTATTTGCCTGTTACATCTCTTTATCCTTTTACTTTCTACCTTTCTATGTCCTTATTTTTAAGGTGACTCTTATAAACAGCATATAAATGAGTTTTGTGGGTTTTAAAATCCAGTTAAAATCTTTTTTCTCTTTTTTTTTTTTTTTTTGAGACGGAGTTTCGCTCTTGTTACCCAGCTGGAGTGCAATGGCGCGATCTTGGCTCACCGCAACCTCCGCCTCCTGGGTTCAGGCAGTTCTCCTGCCTCAGCCTCCTGAGTAGCTGGGATTACAGGGACGCGCCACCATGCCCAGCTAATTTTTTGTATTTTTAGTAGAGACGGGGTTTCACCATGTTGACCAGGATGGTCTCGATTTCTTGACCTTGTGATCTATCCACCTCGGCCTCCCAAAGTGCTGGGATTACAGGCTTGAGCCACCGTGCCCGGCCTTAAAATCTTTATTAAAAAAACCACTAGTATATAATTCATTTACTTAATGTATTTACAAATACGATTAGCTTCATAACTGCCATCCTGTTATTCTCTCTTTGCCCAGCTGGTCCATGTGGTCTGGGTTTCTTTTTCTTTTCTTTGTTGTCTTTTTTTGGATTGATTTTTAAAATTATATATTTTCCCTCCATTGGCTTGTAGTTATGCACATTCTTAGGATTTAGCAATTTTAGTCATGTGTCTTTTGCATATTAAAAAGTTTGATATTAATTAGCACTTTTACCAATTTCTAGAAAATTAAAGGACCTTAGATAATTTTAACTCATTTACTCTTCATCTTTTGTACAAATTTGAAATATATCTTAAGTGTCTATGTTTCTAATCCCATAAGACTGTTTTATTACTGTTTTATGCAATTAATATTCATTTATAATTAGCCATATTTATCCTTTCCATTGTCCTTCATTTCTTCTTGCATGTTTGTGCTCCCATCTAAAATCATTTTCCATTTGAGGAATTTCCTTTAGTGGTGATGAATTCTCTCAGTTTTTATCTAAAAATATTTTAATTTTACTATCTTTCCTGAAGATTTTTGTTTTCTCAGTGTAGAGTTGTAGGTAGGTAGGTAGTTTTTATTTTTGCTTAGCATTTTGAAGATGTTGCTTTATTACTTCCTAGTCCTTCTCTCTACTGACACGTTAGCCATCAGTCTTATTGTTGTTCCTGTTTTTTTTCTGATCACGTTTGAGATTTATGTGTTGTTTTTTGTTATTAGCACTTCTCCTATAATATTCCCAGATAGGTTTTCTTTGTGTTATACTACATCAGGTTCATAGTGCTTGCTCAAGTTGTTTTTTTTTTTTTATCAAAAATAATCCTTGGTCATTTTTTCTTCGAATTTTGCTTCTGCTCTATACTCTCTTCTTTCCTTCTGGGATCCCAATAATATATATGTATGTAGACCTTTTATTTGTATCATATGTAAACACTTTGTCATATTTTCTGTACATTTCCTGCAGAAATTTATTTTACTAATCATCATTCTTCAGCTGTGTCTAATCAGCTATTCTATTTAGTTCTTAATTTCAGTTCTTAATTTCTTATAGAATTTACATTTGTTATTTTTTAAATTTCTAATTTCCAGCTCAAATTTTCTAATTTTTAATTTAATTTCTTAAATATATTGATAACAGTTATTTTTAAAGTCCATGTCTAGTAATTCCAATAGTGTATCTCTGGACAGCTGTTTCTTGGTTTTCAGTCAAATGTTCTTGACCCCTGGTTTGCTTGGCAATATTGTGTTTAATGCTGGCTATTAAATAATGGAGATAATTTGAGGCTCTGGATGATTTTGTCTTCTTCCAGAAAGGATGTAGAAATTACTGTTACTTCTGGCAGGCACATAGAATAGGCGCAAATGAACTGATACCTGTCAGAGACTGCAACGATTTAAAGCTGGTGTATTTCCATTTTACCTCTGTTTCTAGGATAGCTTTCCAGGGGTCCCAACTGATAGCTTGGTGGGCCCCGATCTCTATTTTTTGGTCCATTAAGCCCATAAGACTTCTTGAAGCGCCACCTAGTTTTCAGCAACTCAGCCACCAATTGAGAACTGGTAGGTACCATTTAAGAAAAAGTGGTGCTAAGTATCAGAATCACCTCTTTGCACTTCTTGCTGGGGATCTTGGTATCTCTCAAGTCTTCACTCACTTGGTAGCTCTCTGATCCCTCCACACAGATTTTGTTTTGTTTTGTTTTTATGAGACAGGATTTCACTTCCAGTCACCCAGGCTGGAGTGCATTGGTGCCATCTCGGCTCACTGTAACCTCTGTCTCCCAGGCTCAAGCAATCCTTGTGCCTCAGCCTCCCAAATCGCTGAGATTACAAGTATATGCCACCGTGCCCAGCTGATTTTTGTAGAGACAGAGTTTCACCATGTTGCCCAGGTTAGTCTCAAACTCCTGAGCTCAAGTGATCTGCCCACCTCCACCTCCCAAAGTGCTGAGATTGCAGGAGTGAGCCACTGTCCCAGCCCCATTTACACAGATTTTTCAGTAGTTTTTAAGATTTTCTATATGTTCTTGATGGGAGCACTACATACTACAAGCTACTCTAACATTATTAGTAGTGAAAGTCTTTGATTGAATTTAAAGAAATATCTTTTGTTGTGTTTTCCTTTTTCTTTTTTTTTTAAGACAGAGTCTTGCTTGGCTGGAGTGCAGTGGCATAATCTCAGGTCACTGTAACCTCTGTCTTCCGGGTTCAAGCAATTCTCCTGCCTCAGTCTCCCGAGTAGCTGGAATTACAGGCGTGTGCCACCATGCCCAGCTAATTTTTATATTTTTAGTAGAGATGGGATTTCACCATGTTGGCCAGGTTGGTCTGGAACTTCTGACCTCAGGTAATCTGCCTGCCTTGGCCACCCAAAGTGCGGTGATTATAGGCGTGAGCTACCACACCTGGCCTGTGTTTTTCTTTTGATTACAAAAATAATACATGTTCATCATAGTACATTTAGAAAATAGCAAATTACATACATACAAAAATCAAGATTTCCTGTAAGACTCCCATTTCCAGCTAACACTGTAAAATTTTACTCTTTCTTCCAGTCTTTAAAAAATTTATATTTTTATGTATGTATATATATATATATATATGTGTATTTATATTGCTAAATTTGGATCATAGTATATATTCTATTTTATAACCAGACTTTTTACTTAAATGTATCATGAACATTTTTCCATGTAACTAAATAGTCTACAGAAGGCAATTCTTTACAAAATTTTTAAGCTTATAAATCATTCTCTGTCAGGTAGGAGTGAGCAATCTACATATTAAGGGTCACTGTCAAAAATATATCTGTTCTGTCCCATATGTAAGCAAAAGGCAACTAATGTTTGCAGTAGCCATCTAACAAAATAAGCATTACAAGGTTGGAATAGAATTCCAACAATCTCACACAACAACAATGTATAGTAACTGAAGAAAGAATGAAAAAATGTAGAGTAGGAAATTGAAAATTGAATTCACTAAGTTGCATGATGAGAAATACATTTTGACTCCTCATTGACTACCAAGAAGAATGAGATAAGAAAGAACAGGTTAAAAATGTTACCAGGTTAGAGTAAAGAGGCTAAAAAGAAAAAAAAGGAAAGGGAGAAAATATAAAGAAAAAGAAAAGATAAGGAGAGGATCAAATAATATTAACTGTAACCTAAGGGCTTTCCATCATCATTGTCAAGCTATGCCTCCAGAGGCTATTTGCGTTCTTTCTTTGCAGAGGAAATGAAGTAGAAGGCAAGGAACCTAGGGGAAATAGGAAGAAGAAAGAGACACAATGGCTAAAGAAGGAAGAGTTAAAATCTCTATCACATAGATGGTGATTTCTCTAACAACACTAATGTGAATCTTTACATGTCCTTTCCACTCTCACAATTTTAGTTTAATGATGAGAAAAAGTTGATGAGCTTTCATCAGAATCTTCAGGACGTCACAGAAGATCAACTCAGTTTGGCCTCAATCCACTATATGCGATCTCACTACCAAGAAGCTATTGATATATATAAGCGAATACTGCTAGATAACAGGTCTGTGTCCTTTTATGCCTACTCTACATTTTCATTTTGTTCATTTCTTTTGTAACTAGTTTGGCTGAGAATCTAGTGTCCTTTGGATGTAGTACCACCATGCATTCAAATCTGTTTAGTTGATTATCTGGTGAGATTAAGAATTAGATATTGTCTAAACCAGGCTTTCTCTTATCTTTTTATCCATTGTCACCCTTCTAAAAGACTTTTTCCTCCTAATTGCCCTCCCATGAAAGTTTAGTATACTGATATATGTATATTAACATATATCCATTTATGTACTATATGTATAACTGTGCTTTACACGTAAAATGAATAGGATTTTTTCATCCTCCCATAAGAACCAATTTTTCCCCTTTGGAAGTATTATTACCCCTATTGAAATGTATGGTCTAGATGTATCAAACTTAGCATTATAGTTACATTGTAGGTAACTGCTGACAAAATTAGATACAAAGCATTCTGAAGAATTTACATTCCAGCCAGGCGAGGTGGTTCACACCTGTAATCCCAGCACTTTGGGAGGCTGAGGAGGGCAGATCACGAGGTCAGAAGATTGAGACCATCTTAGTCAACATGTCTTTAAATAAATAAATAAATAAAAGAAAAAAAAAGAATTTACATTTCAACTTTATCACTAAACACTTGGCCTCTCTCTCCCTTCCCAAAAGTATCTCAGCTTCCTTCCATCTTTCCTCTTTTCCATTACCTTCTTAGTCGCCTACCAGCTTCCATTTCCAGCCATTGAGCCTGCATGTCTTGTGTTGGTCTAATGTGTGGAGTGCGCTTGTGTTTATGTTCAATTATAGCATATGTTAGTTTTTCAGTATGAACAGCATGAATGTTCCCTTTCTTCTCTAGTTGTCATCTTTCACTCTACTTATATCAAAACACCCAGCTGGGCGCGGTGGCTCACACTTGTAATCCCAGCACTTTGGGAGGCCAAGGCGGGCGGATCACAAGGTCAGGAGTTCGAGACCAGCCTGGCCAATATGGTGAAACCCCATCTCCACTAAAAATACAAAAATTAGCCAGGCATGGTGGTGCACGCCTGTAGTCCCAGCTACTTGGGAGGCTGAGGCAAGAGAATCGCTTGAACCTGGGAGGTGGAGGTTGCAGTGAGCCGAGATTGTGCCACTGCACTCCAGCCTGGTGACAGAGCAACACTCCATCTCAAAAAACAGACAAATAAACAAAAAACAAAAACCCACCCAAATATTGCAATGCAAAAAAATATATATATATATACTGATTATATCTTGCCTTCTTTCTTCATATGGCAAATTCATGAACTGTCTTCTTTACCTTGTCCATTTGAGCTTTGTAGTTTGACATTTCTATGAAGTAGACTTACATGGTTAACCCTTAATTCTTTCGTCTAATAGGGAATACCTTGCCCTCAATGTTTATGTGGCCCTCTGCTACTATAAATTGGATTACTATGATGTGTCTCAAGAAGTTTTGGCTGTTTACCTTCAGCAAATTCCTGATAGTACCATCGCACTCAATCTTAAAGCCTGTAATCATTTTCGCCTTTACAGCGGCAAAGCAGCTGAGGTATTGGTGGAAGTGTGTTTTTAATGTACTTTATTCCAATTTAAATTACTGTATACTTTACAAGTTATTCATGAAACTCTGTTATCTGTAACTCTTGATTAATATCCCTTTGTCATTGCTAGTGTTGAACCTAATTGTATGTTTATTAGGTATTCTTTTTTTTTTTTTTTGGTTAATCAATGAGAACTTGTTATGTTGCTCAGGTTGCCCTTGAACTCATAGCCTTGCCTCCTCAAGCTCCAGGACAACTGGCCAGAGCCACTACGGCTCTGTTTATTAGGTATTCTAAAAAGAATGTTGACTTCTGAATTCTTCGTGTTATGTCTATTATATTATAGATGATTTTATTGAGATGCCTTACATTGTGTTTAAAACCAAATGCTTCTGTTAATTGCTTTAATTTTCCAGGGCTTAAAGAAAAGAAACAAAAAAACCCAAATGCTTCTGTCCAGGCACTATGGCCCATGCCTGTAATCCCAGCACTCTGGGAGGCAGAGGTGGGCAGATCACTTGAGACCAGGAGTTTGAGACCAGCCTAGCCCACTTGGCCCCATCTCTACTAAAAATACAAAAAATTAGCCTGGCATGGTGGCACGTGCCTGTAATCTCAGCTGCTGGGGTGTTGTGGGGCAGGCGGAGGTTTCAGTGAGCCGAAATTGAGCCTTTGCACTCCAGCCTAAGCGACAGAGCGAGACTGTGTCTCAAAATAAACAAAGAAACCAAAATGCTTCAGCTTCTTCCTCTATAATATGTGTATGGCTCTGTAATCGAATGTCGCCAACATACATCCAGTAAACCACATCGGAAACCTGGCATATCTGCTGCTTTCTCCTCCTTCATCTCCATGAAATCATCCCTTAGTTCCTATCAGCTGCACATCTTAGATATCTCTTTTATCTATCCCTTCTTCTCCTTGGCTACTATTCTAATCTGGGAGTTTCTCGTCTCTTATTTTGACCCTTTAAATAGTGTTCCTGCCTTTAGTCAGTCTTGTTATCTTCAGTGCAGCCACTGAATTTGTTCCACATGCCATGCTCTCTTACCCCCTAGCTTTGTGTACAGCATTCTCACTCCTGGAATGACTTCCTTCTTTCTCTGCTTAGTATACTTCAATTTCTTTTTTAAGGTTAGTCCAAGAGGCAAAAATGGTAGACATTTTAGAAATACTTAGAAATTGGCTAACTTGTAGGTATCATGCAGAACAACTCTATTTTATTATTATTATTATTTTTGAGACAGAGTTTCGCTGTTGTTACCCAGACTGGAGTGCAATGGCACGATCTTGTCTCACTGCAACTTCTGCCTTCTGGGTTCCAGCAATTCTCCTGCCTCAGCCTCCTGAGTAGCTGGGACTACAGGCATGCGCCACCATGCCCAGCTAATTTTTTTCTATTCTTAGTAGAGACGGGGTTTCACCTTATTGACCAGGATGGTCTCAATCTCTTGACCTTATGATCCACCTGCCTCGGCCTCCCAAAGTGCTGGGATTATAGGCGTGAGCCACCGCGCCTGGCCCAGAACACTTTAAATCCGTTAATTTCCCTGACAAGCTCATGGTTAGAGGCTACTGTAGTTCTCATTTTATAGGAAACTGAGAAACACAGGAGGCCGTAGATTATTACCTCCTTTTATTTCATTTAACATGTTTTAAATAACATGTAATTTTACTAACATAGTTTTATTTAACATATACACATATATGCATATACACATACACACATATACATATACAGTATATAGATATAGGTAGATACATAGCTATAGAGTAGAAAATGTGTTCTACTCTATATCTATATACAGATATATGGATATAAATAGATAATTATAGGTTAACCCTATGAGGAAGCCACCCTTGGAAATTACCTCCATGGTTATTACTGTAGTTGATGGCAGAAGCTACCAAAATGTAAATGTAAAATTTCTTCATGTGTCAAACTTTAAAAATCCTACCCTTGCCCTTCAAATTAAATTGCTTAGTATATGCTTGAGCATATATCATATACTTACATATTAAATAAAATACATTCTTGGGATAATAGTCACTTCAGCTAAAGGGTCCCCTGAGTCTGCCTAATCGCCTTGTTTTCAGCACCAGCAGCTTAATAGCAGACTGGATTTGCAATTTGGTATCTTTAGAGTTTTCACCCATTAGTAAGAACAAATAAACAAAATACATTCTTGCCTTTCTACCTAGTCTTGGGGAAATTTACCAATTTTGGTGTATGCTCTAATGTATTAAATGTTTACATTTTGTCTGTATAGATCTTTTCCATAGTCTAGTATGGTTACTCAATATCTTATCTATAGTATACACCTAGAATTATCCAAGTCAGAACACCAGAGTGTACTTCTAACCCCAAAAGGCATGCTTTTTCCTTTGAAATTGTGTCAGTACAGTTTATATATTGATTTTATAATGTACTCCAGCAGTAGAAGGCTATGTCAGATGTACCTGAAGAACCTTTTTTTGGTAGCAATAAGACATAGTTTGTGTTTAGTTGTTATACTTTCATTAAACTATTTAAAATCAGGCATTCTTCTACTAACTTGTATAATGAGCTCTATACTACATTGTTTAGTCTCTCACAAACACCATTAACATCTTGCTTTTCTAAAGTAAACAGGAAATAATTTGTGATGATTTACTTAATTCTTAAAGTACTTTGAATAACTTGTTCAGGCTTACACAGCTAACGTAAGTGGCAAATTCAGATCTCAAACTTTTGTCTATCTCACTCTAACATAGACTTAAACACTAAAATGTACTGCAGTACACATACACGATGTCTCCATACTGCTTATTGTTTGTTAGTTGCCTAATTATGTTCAATCTAAACAAGCTCATTGATGATTGGGACTGTGTCTTTTGACATTTGTATCCCAGGACTGGGCACAATGCTTGCCCAAAGTTGTTGCCAACTATGTACTTGTTGAATGACTGACAAATTAAGGAGAGTGACATTTAAAGAAGGAGAGGTCAGTAGAAATGAAGACTGAGAAAAGGCCATTTTAATTAGAATTTTCTACATTTCCTTATCTGATTAGAATGTCATTATTATTGGAGCTTGAACCAGGTTGGAAGGAGATCGGGAGTGAGTAATAACCCAGACTGGGAATTCTCCAAAACGGTATGGCAGAAGGGATGGCAAAGAGATGATGAAAAAATAGAAACATTGAATGTAAGATGCTGGTTAAAAGAATAATGGTAAAAAAGGAGGAGAAGGCTGCTGGTTTTAGAGACTAAAGAGTTGGAGAACTTTCCCCCCAAAACTGGCATGGCCTCTAGGGTAGTGATTATGAGTTTGGGCTTGGAATCACATAGACCCAAATTTCAACCCTGGTAGAGTTGCTATGTGACTTTAGGTGAAATGCTTAACCTCCGTAAGCATCATCTGTAAAACAGGGAAAATAATAGTATTGATTCATCGTAGGTTCTTGTAAAGATTAAATGGTATGAGGTGTGTAAAGTTCTTAATTTTAAATACACAATAAACTCTCAGTAAATATTTGTAATTATTAAAGATTTTGTAGGCTGAAACATAGTCACATTGATCTTTATGTTTAGTGCTTTCTGTATCTTGTTTAAGAAACCATTTCCTGCCGGGTGTGGTGGCTCACACCTGTAATCCCAGCACTTTGGGAGGCTGAGGCAGGTGGATCACAAGGTCAGGAGTTCGAGACCAGCCTGGCCATGGTGAAATCCCGTCTCTACTTTAAATACAAAAATTAGACAGGCCTGGTGTCAGGTGCCTGTAATTTCAGCTGCTTGGGAGGATGAAGCAGGAGAATCTCTTGAAACTGGAAGGTAGAGGTTGAAGTGAGCCAAGATCATACCACTGCACTCCAGCCTGAGTGAAAGAGCAAAACTCCGTCTCAAAAAAAGAAAAAGAAACCATTTCCTAGCTCAAGATTATATTTTCTGATATTATCTTCTTTTTAAAAAATTTATCTATTTATTTAGAGACAGTGTCTCACTGTCACCAAGGCTGTGCAATAGCACAATCATAGCTCATTGCAGCCTCAAATTCCTGGGCTCAAGTGATCCTCGTGCCTCAGCCTCCTGAATAGCTGGAACTACAGGCATGTGCCACCATGTCTGGCTAATTTTAAAATTTTCCGTAGAGATGGGGATCTTGCTATGTTGCCTAGGCTGGTCTCAAACTTCTGGCCTCTGGGATTACAAGCATGAGCCACTGTAACCAACCAATTCTACTATTATCTTCTAATAGCCTATTTAGCTTTTTAAGCCCAAATTTTCTATAATTACATTATATTTTAAAGGATTAAGTTCTCCAATTAAAAGACAAAGAGACTGGGCTTGGTGTGGCTCACGCCTGTAATCCTAGTACTTTGGGAGGCCGAAGTGGGCGGATCATGAGGTCAATAGATCCAGACCATCTTGGCCAACATGAGGAAACCCCATCTCTACTAAAAACAAACAAAAAAAAACCACAAATTAGCTAGGTGTGGTAGCGAGAACATGTAATCTCAGCTACTTGGGAGACTGAGGCAGGAGAATCTCTTAAACCCGGGAGACGGAGGTTGCAGTGAGCTGAGATTGCACCACTGCACTCCAGCCTGGCAACAGAGTGAGACTCTGTCTCAAAAAAAAAAAAAGAAAAAGACAAACATTAGTAAATTAGAAAAGACAAAACCGTAATATATCTTTTAAATAAAACAGAAAATTTGAACATAAAAGGATATGTTTCATGTGAAATATTTCTTATATGGTTTCCAAAATTGGTATCATGCTTTTAGAAAGGTCACCTTCATTATAACCTAGACATTGATGACCTATATCTGCAATTTATACCTTTTTTTTTTTTTGAGACAGTTTCGCTTTTGTTACCCAGGCTGGAGTACAATGGCACGATCTCAGCTGATTGCAACCTCCACCTCCTGGGTTCAAGCAATTCTCCTGCCTCAGCCTCCCGAGTAGCTGGGACTACAGGTGCGCGCCACCATGGCCAGCTAATTTTTGTATTTTTAGTAGAGATGGGGTTTCACCATGTTGACCAGGATGGTCTCGATCTCTTGACCTTGTGATCCACCTGCCTCGGCCTCCCAAAGTGCTGGGATTATAGGTGTGAGCCACCGCACCCAGCAGTCAGAGCTTAAGTGCAACCATCACCACAGTCAATCTTAGGACATTTCAATATCTCTAAAAGAAATGTTGGCTGGGCTCAGTGGCTTGCGCCTGTAATCCTAACACTTTGGGAGGCCAGGGTGAGCAGATTGCCTGAGTTCAGAAGTTTGAGACCAGCCTGGAAACATAGTGAAACTCGTTTCTACTAAAACACAAAAAATTAGCCAGGCATGGCAGCATATGCCTGCAGTCCCAGCTATTTGGGAGGCTGAAGCAGAAGAATCATTTGAACCCAAGAGGTGGAAGTTGCAGTGAGCCAAGATCACAGCACTGCACTCCAGCCTGGGTGACAGAGTGAGACTCCATCTCCAAAAAAAAAAAAAGAAATGTCGGCTGGAATTAGGTGGCTCACACCTCTAATTCCAGCACTTTGAGAAGCCAAGGCAGGTGGATCACTTGAGGTCAGGGGTTCAAGACCAGCCTGGCCAACATGGTGAAACGCTCTCTACTAAAAATACAAAAATTAGCCCAGTGTGGTGGTGTGTACCTGTAATCCCAGCTACTCAGGAGGTTGAGGCATGAGAATCACTTGAATCTGGGAGGCAGAGGTTGCAGTGAGCTGAGATCACGCCACTGCACTTCAGCCTGGGTGACAGAGCAAGACTCCGTCTAAAAAAAAAAACAAAAACGCCATACCCTTCAGCTATCGACCCCTATTGTCCAGTTCCCCCCAGACCTGAGCAACCACTAATTTACTATGTCTTTATATGTTTGCCTGCTCTGGACATTTTGTGTGTGTGTGTGTGTGTGTGTGTGTGTGTGTGTATGTGTGTGTGTATTTATATATATGGAATCCTACCATATTTGATCTTTATGATTGGCACCTTTTACTTATAGCATAATGTTTACAAGGTTCATCATGTTGTAGCATATATCAGTATTTCATTTTTATGATCAAATAATATTTTGTTTTATGGATATACCACTTTTAGTTTATTCCATTCATTAGTTGATAGACACGTGTTGTTTCTACCTTTTGCCTATTATGAGTGCTGCTGCCATAAACATTATACTCGTTGTGTAAGTTTTTGTTTGTATGTATGTTTTCAGTTCTCTTGGGTTTATACCTAGGAGTGGAATCACTGGGTCATACTGTAACTCTATATTTAATTGTCTGGGGAACTGCCAGACTGTTCCAAAGTAACTACACCATTTTACATTCCCACCAGCAGAACATAAGCCTTTTGATTTCTTTCTTTCTTTTTTTTTGAGACAGAGTTTTGCTCTTGTTACCCAGGCTGGAGTGCAATGGCGCGATCTCAGCTCGCCATGACCTCCGCCTCCTGGGTTCAAGCAATTCTCCTGCCTCAGCCTCCTGAGTAGCTGGGACTACAGGCGTGTGCCACCATGCCCAGCTAATTTTTGTATTTTTAATAGAGACAGGGTTTCACCATGTTGACCAGGATGGTCTCGATCTCTTGCCCTTGTGATCCACCCGCCTCGGCCTCCCAAAGTGCTGGAATTATAGGCGTGAGCCACCGTGCCTGGCCCAACCTTAGTTCTCAAAGGCTTAGCTCCTTAATCACTCTTGACACTGAAAGAAGAAACTAACACTAGGAATCTTCAGACTTGAGTACCCCAGTTTTGAAACTTGCTGCTTAGTAGAAGTTTCAAGTTACTTAACTTTTATAAGCCTCATTGTTTTCATTTATTATTGCCTGCATTTGAAAATGTGGGTAATAATAATTACATTGACCTAGAGTCATGAGGATCAAATGAAATAGTTAAATTATTTGTAAATTATAAACCATTGTGTAAATATGTGGTATAAGAACACTTGTCATTTTCATAAGCCTTTCTTTTTTAAATTTCAGGCAGAACTCAAAAGCTTGATGGACAATGCTTCATCCTTCGAATTTGCTAAAGAACTCATCAGGCACAATCTGGTGAATAACAGTTTCTGTCTTGACTGACTTCAGTCCTACTCTGCTTTGGTACATCACAGCAATTAGAAAGATGAATAAAAGGAGATGCCCCAGCAAATAATGCTTTACTCCAAGGGAATGCCTCCTCACTGTGAAGGAGATAAGTTTTAAAATATTAGTTTGTTTCCTTAAGGAAATCCTTGTTGGGAGAACAGGAATATATATAATATTTGGAAAGAAGCACAAGGCAGTGTAGATCCAAGTGTTTGTTTTTTCGGAAAGACAAAGGAACATATCCTCCTGTGGATTAAAATAAATGGGAAATATTTTTGCATCTTTGAAGGATGGCTGAGATTTAGAGGGTTCATTCTAGTCAAGAACATAGAGATAGAATGAGGATGACATGTAAAAGATTGTGAGCAGGTTGATCTTACTGAAACAGTAAATTTGTACTGGGGAATAGCAGACACTTAAGTTGGATGTGTAGTTGGTTTTAGGACTAGATTATGATTCTATTGACCCACGTAATAGAATGAGATGCAGAAAAGCTGCTCTCAATTCAGATACCTGGGATCACTGGGCAAATCATCAGATACTACTGTCTGATATTCTTCATCCAAAAGTGGCAATAATAATTATGTTTTTTCTGCTGATTCTCTATTCCTTCTTATAGCACCATTTCCTCAGTAAACCACAGCTGTTTTAGACTCTCCCTTTCTATTTAGCTCCAATATCTATTCAGTTACTAAATCCTATTCTCTTCTTGTTGTCAATGTCTTATATTTATTCCCTTTCTTCTCTAATTCAGGCCTTTATCATAGATATGGTTTTATTTGGATAGTTCCTACTCTGAGTTTCTGCATCTAATCTTTTAACTTCAAATCTAGTTTATAAATTGAAGCCAGATTAATTTTTGTGAAAAATTATGGGTTATATAGTAGTCCGGAATTTAAGCCTAGGGAAAGATACAGGCTTGAGAATAGATTTAGGAGTTATTGTGAGAGTCTTGACAAATTAATATGGAAGGTTTCCAATTGCTGAAGTGAAATAAATCATATAGAAAGGATTAAAAATAGAAAGATATGGTTCCAAAACAACATCTGTATTTCTGGGACTGGAGGAAGGAGTATTAGCAAATGAGACAAGAAAGGGCAGAGAAGCAGCAGCTAGATAATGTAATGTCATCTACAACTACACATTTTAATCACTTGGGAGGCTTTTGAAATTCATGATGCATGGGCTCCTTATTTAATGGTTGGTCTAGAGCCCAGCTATCAGTATCTTTTTAAAGCATCCCAGGTAGATACAGCTAAGATAAAGAACCACTGTATGGGCCAGGTGCAGTGGCTTACACCTGTAATCCCAGTACTTTGGGAGGCTGAGGCAGGTAGATTACTTGGGGTCAGGAGTTCGAGACCAGCCTGACCAACATGGGGAAATCCCATCTCTACTAAAAATACAAAAATTAGCCAGGCATGGTGGCACATGCCTGTAATCCCAGCTACTCAGGAGGCTGAGGCAGGAGACTTGCTTGAACCCGGGAGTTGGAGGTTGTGGTGAGCTGAGATCATACCATTGTACTCCAGCCTGGGCAACAAGAGCAAAACTCCATCTCAAAAAAAAAAAAAAAAAAAAGAAGAACCACTATATGAATATATGACTAAACAGAACATATGAAATAGAGATAATTCTTGAAGAGTGGGATTTTAAAAGGAAGTAAGAATATGGAAATTTTTATTTCATAATACTATATTTAAGTTTTTTCTAATAAACACATATTTTATGAATTTTTTTATTTTTTTTGAAATAGAGTCTCTGTTGCCCAGACTGGAGAGCAGTGGTGCAATCTTGGCTCACTACAACCTCCACCTCCCAGGTTCAAACGATTCTTCTCCCTCAGCCTCCTGAGTAGCTGGGATTACAGGTGTGTGCCACCACGCCCAGCTAATTTTTGTATTTTTAGTAGAGACAAGGTTTCACCATGTAGGTCAGGCTGGTCTTGAACTCCTGACCTCGTGATGAGCCCACCTCGGCCTCCCAAAGTGCTGGGATTACAGGTGTGAGCCAACATGCCTGGCCACTCTTATAATTTTTTAACCTGAAAAATATCAGGGCAATATAAATGCTTGGTAAAAAAACATCAACTTTTGATGTTAGATTCGAGGTCAAAATCAAGTTCTACCGTGTACTAGCTTTGTAACTTTGGATAAGTCACTTAATGTTGCTGAGTCTCAGTGTTCTCATATGGAACAGGGAAAATGAAAGTACTTATCTTGCATTTTTGTGAGGATTAAGTGAGGTAATAGGTGTAAGGGGCTTCACACAGTATGCATTTAGAAAATGGCGTTGTTATTCTTACTGTCATCTTGTAGGCATCAGTGTCAAAACTGCAGACACATCATGGAGCAAGAAGACAGAAAAGTCCACTGAATTTGGCTAAAGAGATTTATTTGTGACTGCTGAGAGCAGAAGCCAATGTTTTGAGAGGTTGAGTGAGAGGATGAGGAGAAAGTAGAAGCAGTAAGCCACATACTTTTGAAGTGTGGCACTGAAAAAGAGAAAAATAGGGCACTATCCAGAGGAAACAATGGAGCCAAGGGGAAGATTTTTCAAGAGAACAAAAGCCCCTTGTGTATGTTTAAAGTTGAGAAGTAGGACCAGGGCTTTGGGAAGATTGAAGATACAGTGATTAATGGAGAAAAGAGGTCCTGATGGAGTCAGAAGTCATGGGATCAGGAAGACAGGTAAATGAATTAGTCTTGGCAAAAGAAGGGAATATCTCAAAGAGGAACCAAAAAAAGATCACCAAATAGATATCTTGGGATAGAGAGAAGAAACTATGTAGTTCATGTGGGATGACCTTGCTTTCCGTACATTTATTTATGAAATAATTTGCTATATTCCAGACACTATGCTAGTCTCTAGAAATACAACAGGACACAAAATAAATTGTCCTTTTTTGGTTGAATTTTTTTGTTTTGGTTTTTTAGCTTTTCTTTGTAACATTTATTATCATCTGATAACATATTTATTTGTTTGCTTTTTGGAGGTCTGTCCCCACTTGAATAGTCCCTATGGTGACAGGGGAGTGACCTGTTCCTGCTATAACCCCCGCGCTGGTTACAGTAATGGGCATGTAGTACACGCTATTAATTCAATGAAATATTGAAATATGTGCTACACATTTAGCCCACTGTAGCTCATTTAATCCTCATAATAACCCTAAAGGTAGGTGTTACTAATGCCATTTAGAGATGAGGAGACAGGCTCAGAAAGGTTATATAAATTCCTTCAGGGAGCTTTGATGTAGAATGTCTATCTAGAAAAGAGCTTGATTAGTTATTGGGTACTTTAAGAGTTTTCTGCAGTTCTTATGAAGAGGAAAAGAGATGTACACAATAAGGGTTATGATTTTATTCTATTTCTTATAGTTATTTTGTTTTTAGAATTTAAATTTTTATGGGTATACAGGAGGTGTATATTGCTATAATTTAGATCATGGCTTGCTTTCAATGAGATCGAGGTCATATGTATACAGAGAGCTTCAAAAATATGTTCGTCCTTTTAAAAAATAACTGAGTGCTGGCTATTCTAGCCACAGTTCTAGGGTCTGGGAGTGCACAGTAAATGCAAAGTTCCTTGCCATATTGTGGTGGACGTAACAGATAAACAGATAAAGAAATATACAATAAAATAAAAATATAAGTACTATGAATAAAAACGAAGGGCAAGGCTATAGACTGATAATGGAGGTAGGTTTTATACAGGTTTAAAAATAAAATGTTTAATTATGACAGGGCTGTTAAGGAGGATCAAAAGCAGAGAGGAAGGAAAAGAAGAGAGAAGGTAAGAAGCATAGGGATTAGGTAGTCAATAATAAATTCAGCCAATAATAAAAGTTCTCAATATATCAACTGGTTCCCACAGCTATTTTAGTCAGATATCATGAACCCAGTTATATGTGGCAGCTCCTTAAACATTGTCACCAATAAATATGTACATCGTTATTGCCGTAATAGCATGATTTCTCCATCTCTAGGTTGTTTTCCGAGGAGGTGAAGGGGCTTTGCGGGTTTTACCTCCCCTGGTTGATGTCATTCCTGAAGCTAGGCTCAACTTGGTGATTTACTACCTTCGTCAAGGTAAGAAAAATTTGTCCTAGTCTTACTTACAATGACATATTTTAGAATATTTAAATATGTCTGAGTGAACTACTTGATCACTTTTTAAATCCATATTTCTACAAATATATTTCCAACAAGTTCATAGAACAAGTTTCTTGGTGCTTGTTTGTTGTGCCTTTTTTATCCTCTTTGCTCTTCTGTTGCTTCCTACCTTCTTCTCCCTCATTCTGTTTTTTCCTTTTATTTTTCTGTCCTTTATTCTCTATCCATTCTTACCTTTTCATTGTTATTTCCTCCCCTTCCCTTACAGTTCTTCTTTCTTTTTCTAGTTTTCCCCATTGCATAATGTACATCCACATTTTCTTGTGTCTTTTGGAAAAATTATTAACTGATTTTTATTTGCTTTGATTGTCTTTTCTGTTTCTTTGTACACCCGGCTGCTTATGAGAAATACTGTGATTCAAAGAGGATGTGATATTTATTGCCCCAAAGTAAGATTGAAATTGTTAGACACATGCCTAAAGCAGCCTTTTCTAGCAGCTGAGTACAGGGTAGCAGTCACCAAATGCCATTTGTGGTGGCATTCGGTCATGGGCTCTGAAAACCAGCCAGGACAGCATATTCCTCAGAGGAAAATGTGTTTATTGAAATAAGAACATGTACTTGCAAAAAGTCCTATTTATTTTATTTATTTGTTATTATTTTGAGATGGAGTCTTACTCTGTTGCCCAGGCTGGAGTGCAGTGGTGCGATCTCAGCTCACTGCAGCCTCCACCTCCTGGGTTCAAGTGATTCTCCTGCCTCCGTCTCCCAAGTAACTGGGATTACAGGCGTGCACCACCATGCCAAGCAAATTTTTGTATTTTGAGTAGAGATGGGGTTTTGCCATGTTGATCAGGCAAGTCTCAAGCTCCTGACCTCAGGTGATGCACCTGCCTTGGCCTCCTAAAGTGCTGAGATTACAAGCGTGAGCCACCATGCCCATCCTCTATTTTATATATAAGCAAAAGGAAATATATTTTGGACAAGAATGAAATAAACAGCATATATATTTTATAAATTACTTTTATTATGGAAAATTTCAAACAGAAAAATAAATAATACAATAAACAGCCAAATACTCACCCCAGATTCAGCACTTTTCAAGATATTTCCAGTCTTCCTTTTTCATTCAGTACCCCCTTTTTGTTCCTGAAATGTTTTAAAGCAAATCTCAGACTTGGTATCATTTAATTCCTATATATTTAGTATATCTCTCTCTTTAAAAAAATAATGGTTACTTTTCTTATCTAATACAATGCCATTGGCATAGAATGCCTCCTCCATGTTCTTAGCTTCAACAGTTTTTAAAGTGCTTCATGACTTTAATATGAGTTTTCTAAGGATATTGGTTATCTTTATCATAGCTACTCAACTCTGAACATGGAGAGTTAGGAGACAGATAAAACAGATCATATCTTCCATGAATATTTAAGTAGTGAAGGATCGTTTCGGAGGGACTGCTTCAGAAGGGTTTTCTGGAATACAGACTAGTATAATTACTTATTTGTTGTATTTCAGATGATGTACAAGAAGCTTATAACTTGATTAAGGATCTAGAACCTACTACTCCTCAGGTAATTGAGAATGTTTTACATTTTTACTAACCAAGTTCTGCCGAAAGTAGAACTTCAGAAATCTAGTTGGAAGTCATATTAGAGAAGATTAGGCAGACTATTGCCTGTAGAATCTCAGGAAAAGGCCATATATATTCATTTAGGAATGTTATATGCAACTTGTGATATGAGAATGAATGTTCTGTGCTTTTTGATGTTTTTTAACTTCCTTATATGTAGTCATTTTGTCAAAAAGGGTAAGGAAATTTGGAAAATTCCTTTAGTATTTGGAAATATGAAAATTTAGAATTCCAATGAAACAACTAGGTACATGTAATTATCTCAGAAATTGTCTATAACTTGTCTTTCTTCCCCATTGGATCATTAACTCCTTGTAGTCAGGGACTGTGTCTTATTGTATCTCCAACACCATGCACATGAAGTGTATAGTAAACATTCCATTTATGGAATGAAAGACTGAATGAAGAATATTTCTAGACCCCACGGAGTTTAAACAAGTGTATTTCTCAAGTATATTTAAAGATTCAGCCTCTTTCATGCTGTCCTTTTTGTGAGCTCTCTCTCTTTTTTTTTTTTTTTTGAGACAAAGAATCTTGCTCTGTCTCCCAGGCTAGAGTGCAGTGGCCTGATTTCTGCTCACTGCAACCTCTGCCTCCCAGGTTCAAGCAATTCCCCTGCCTCAGCCTTCCGTGTAGCTGGGATTATAGGCATGCTCCACCATGCCTTGCTAATTTTTTGTATTTTTAGTAGAGATGGGGTTTCGCCGTGTTTGCCAGGCTGGTCTCGAACTCCTGACCTCATGATCTGCCCACCTTGGCCTCCCAAAGTGCTGGGAATACAGGCGTGAACCACTGCGTCCAGCCTGTGAGCTCTCTTAAATGAAAGTTTGATAAACCTGCTAGCTAGGAAGGGTATGTATTAAAGAATTGAACCAAGTCTGAAAAAAAGGATATAAGTGAGGCCCCAGGACTCCAAAAGAGAGAATGCCTTATAAATGGACATAGGACACATTTTTTTTTTTTTTTAGGAAAAGGATTACTAGCAAAGAAAAGTTACTATAACATTTCAAAGGGGCTGGGCACAGTGATTCATGCCTGTAATCCCAGCACTTTGGGAGGCGGAGGCGAGTGGATCACCTGAGGTCAAGAATTCGAGACCAGCCTGACCAACATGGCGAAACCTCATCTCTACTACAAATACTAAAAAATTAGCCAGGCGTGGTGCAGGGGGCACCTGTAATCCCAGTCTCCCTGGAGGCTGAGGTAGGAGAATTGCTAGAACCCTGGGGATTAGAGGCTGCAGTGAGCTGAGATTGCACCACTGCACTCCAGCCTAGGCAACAAAGTGAGACTCTGTCTCAAAAAAAAAAAAAAAAAAGATTGGAAAGGGAAAATGAAATATACGATATGGGTGAGAAGGTAATAAAAATTGAACTTTTTTTTTCATATAATTGAAATAAAATGAAACTTACCTCCTGGAGCTTCCACTGAATTATTTTTGCTTAAGATGGAGAATTTGCAAATATGGTAAATTGTGTTATATAGATACTTGGCTGCTGGCAACTAAATGAGTGTCTCCTAATTCTTTCGTTCAAGCTAGGGATAGAACAGAGAAAAGTAACTCTGGGTAATCTGATAATTTATATAAAGTATTAAGTTAATGTAAGGAGTTAATTTGAAAATGATCTCATAGCTCCACATTTCTCTTAATCAGTGTTATTCCATGTTTCTAGGAGTATATTCTCAAAGGAGTGGTCAATGCAGCCCTTGGCCAGGAAATGGGTTCAGTGAGTATGAAATCACTGATAATCTATTGGTTGTAAAGTTATAGGTATGTGGAAGAGAACAAAATGGCTATCGAAGTGCAAGGAACAATAGGCTCTCCTGTAGCTCCTTTTATTTCTCTGTATCCCCCAATCGAGACTCCACTGTGAAAAGAATGTTATATTATTTAGAGACAAAAACAAACAAATGAACAAAAAATACACAACCCTGTAATCCTAAAGATTTATCCTTATTTAAAAGGGTTTAATTTTCAGAAGAATCACTTGAACCCAGGAGGCGGAGGTTGCAGTGAGCCGAGATCATGCTATTGCACAGCCCGGGTGACAGAGCAAGACTCCGTCTTAAAAAAAAAAAAAAAAGAGGTCTATTTTTTAAATAGCAACTTATTTAATAACAAATTTAAAAATCATTGCACCACTTCATTCTTATTTGCAGGGACTTTTTTTAAACTTACATATATCTGAGCTATAATTTTGGCATCTGTAAACTGGAGAAAATTGTTACTTGGGAAAAATTTTTTTTTTTATAAACACCAAAACACAGCCTAAAATTAAGCTCTTATCCATCTTAATACATCATTCTTTGTTCTTTTTGGAACAAAATGGGATACAAATAAATCTTTTTATCTCAAGTTCCTTCTTGAATGCCTTGTATAGTAAATAGACAGCAAATACTTATTAAATAAATGAGTTTAGGTTTGGTGCGGTGGCTCACACCTGTAATCCCAGCACTTTGAGAGGCCAACGCGGGCAGATCATGAGGTCAGGAGTTCAAGACCAGCCTGACCAACATGGTGAAACTCCATCTCTACTAAAAATACAAAAAATTAGCCAGGCATGGTGGTGCATGCCTGTAATCCCAGCTACTCAGGAGGCTGAGGTAGGAGAATCACTTGAACTTGGGAGATGGAGGTTGCGGTGAGCCAGGATTGTGCCATTGCACTTCAACCTGGGCAATAAGAGTGAAAATCCATCTCAAAAAAAGTAAATAAATAAATGAGTTTTTAAAAAATAAAAAAACAAATAAATAAATGAGTTTAATAAATACTCCTTGTTACATCTATAGATCCTGTTCCAATGTCTGATACGTGGTAAAAGAGCAATAGATATTTGTAGAATGAGTTCATTTAATGAAGTTTTAGGATAGAATTTAAGGATTTGATTCTTTTTCTTTTCTGTCTGTCCCTGCACAGGTTTTAATTCAGTTTCAGGTCTAGGTATTATGCTAATAAGAATTAGTATTGTTTGGGCAAGATTTAAAAGAAGGATATATGTTAAATCCTGACAAATATGTTAGAACCATAAAGTATAATAAAATAAAATATTTTTACCTTATTCCTCTATATCAGCTCAGTTTGTTTTTCAGAGGGATCATATGAAAATTGCCCAGCAGTTCTTCCATTTGGTGGGAGGATCAGCTAGCGAATGTGGTATGTCTGAAATCTGTACTTAGGATCATGCTTCATAATTGGAGTGGGGCATATATTGACTGTGAAGTTTGATTCTCTGTCTAGGGATGTATCTGTTAGGCTTCACATTGTAAAGTGGGAGGTCAGAAATAAGAGAGACTATTGGAATTCATTCTTCTCAACATCTCAGCTAAAATGGGATAAGAGAATAAATAAAGGAGAGTACATTTACCGTTTTGTTCCTGAGATTTTTAAAACTTTGAATCAGTTTTAGATATGAAATGTTATTTATTTATTTTTTGAGATGGAGTCTTGCTTTATCGCCAGGCTGGAGTGCGGTGGCACAATCTTGGCTCACTGCAAACTCCATCTCCCGGATTCAAGAGATTCCCCTGCCTCAACCTCCTGAGTAACTGTGACTATAGGTGTGCACCACCACACATGGCTGATTTTTTGTATTTTAGTAGAGTTGTGGTTTCACCATGGCCAGGATGGTCTCAATCTCCTGACCTCATGATCCGCCCTCCATGACTTCCCAAAGTGCTGGGATTACAGGCGTGAGACACTGCACCTGGCTTAAAATGTTATTTTTTACTGAGTTTTCAAGAGTTCTTTTGAGCATTAACCTTTGTCACATTCTGGTAGGTCATTTGCCTTTAAACTTTGCCTATGATATTTTTTTCCATATAAAGATATTAAAACCAGCCAGGCATGCTGGCTCAATCTTGTAATCCCAGCACTTTGGGAGGCTGAGGCAGACAGATGGCTTGAGCCCAGGACTTCAAGACCAGCCTGGGCAACATAGGAAGACTCCATCTCTACAAATAATCATAAAAAAAAAAAATCAGCCAGGTATGGTGGAATGCACCTATGGCCCCAGCTACTTGAGCTACTTGAGAGGCTGAGGTGTCAGGTTTGCCTGAGCCTAGGAAGTTGAGGCTGCAGTGAGCCACTACACCAATGCATTCCAGCCCGGGCAACAGAGTGAGACCCCCATCTCAAATATATATATATATATGCCATAAAACCAATACTATCAAAATTCAAGGAATCACCAGAGGCTACTATGAGCAATGGTATGCCAATAAATTTGTAAAACTAGAAGAAATGGATAAATTCCTAGACACATACAACCAACCAAGATTGAACCATGAAGAAATCCAGAACCTGAGCAGACCAATAACAAGTAATGAGATTGAAGCCATAATAAATATATTTTCAGTAAAGAAAAGCCCAGGTTCCGTTGGCTTCACTGTAGAATTCTACCAAACATTTAAAGACAAACTAAGATCAATCTTGCTCAAATTATTCCAAAAAATAAAGGAGGAGGAAATATTTCCAAACTCATTCTTCAAGACCAGGATTGCCCTGATAACAAAACCAAAGACACATCAAAAGAAGAAACTAAAGGCCAATATCTTGAATGAACGGGGATAAAAAAAACATCAACAAAATATTAGCAAATAGAATTCAACAACACATTAAAAAGATCATTCATCATGACCAACTGGGATTTATGTCAGCAATGCAAGGATGGTTGAACTTATACAAATCAATGGGATACATCATATCAGCAGAATGAAGGACAAAAACTATATGATCATTTCAATTGATGCTAACAAAGCATTTGATTAAATACAACATCCCTTTTTGATAAAAACCCTCAAAAAACTGTGTATAGAAGGAACATACCTCAATACAGTAAAATCCATATACAACAGACCCACAGCTAGTATCATATTGAATGGAGAAAATGGAAAGCCTTTCCTCTAAGATCTAGAACAAGACAAGGATGCCCACTTTTACCACTGTTATTCAACATAGTACTGGAAGTCCTAGCTAGTAATTAGACAAGAGAAAGAAATGAAGGACATCCTAATTGAAAAGGAAGAAGTCTCATGTCTGTAATCCCAGCACTTTGGGAGGCCGAGGCGGGTGGATCACAATGTCAAGAGATCGAGACCATCCTGGTCAACATGGTGAAACCTTGTCTCTACTAAAAATACAAAAAAAAAATAGCTGGGCACGGTGGCGCATGCCTATAATCCCAGTTGCTCAGGAGGCTGAGGCAGGAGAATTGCCTGAACCCAGGAGGCGGAGGTTGCAGTGAGCCGAGATCACGCCATTGCATTCTAGCCTGGGTAACAAGAGCGAAACTCCATCTCAAAAAAAAAAAAAAAAAAGAAAAGGAAGAAGTCAAATTATCCTTGTTTGCAGATGATATGATCTTATATTTGGAAAACCTAAAGACTCTACCAAGAAACCATTAGAACTTATAAGCAAATTCAGTAAAATTGCAAGATGCAAAACTAACAAATAAAAATCAGTGGTTGGCCAGGCATGGTGGCTCATGCCTGTAATCCCAGCACTTTGGGAGGCCGAAGTGGGTAGATCATGAGGTCAGGAGTTTGAGACCATCCTGGCCAACACAGTGAAACCTGGTCTCTACTCAAAAAAAAAAAAAAAAATTAGCCGGGTGTGGTGGCGTATGCCTGTAATCCCAGCTACTTGGGAGGCTGAGGCACAAGAATTGCTTGAACAAGATCACACCACTGCACTCCAGCCTGGTGACAGAGCAAGACTCCGTCTCAAAACTTAAAAAAATAAACCAGTGGCATTTCTATATGCCAACAGCAAACAATCTGAAAATCAAAAAAGTAATCCCATTTATAATAGCTACCAGTAGAATTAAATACTTAGGAGCTAACCAAAGTAGTGAAGTATCTCTACAATAAAAACTATAAAACACTGATGTAAGGCATTGAAGAGGGCACACAAAAAAGGAAAGATATTTCATGTTTATAGATTGGAAGAATCAATATTGTTAAAATGTTCATGCTACCCAAAGCAGTCTACAGATTCAATGCAATCCTTATGAAAATACGAATCGTATTCTTTATAAAAATAGAAAAAACAATCCTAAAATTTATACAGAACCACAAAAGACCAGAATAGCCAAAGCTGTCCAGAGCAGAAAGAACAAAACTGGAGGAATCACTGTACCTGATTTCTAATTATACCTCAGAGCTATAGTAACCAAAACAGCATGGCACTGGCATAAAAACAGACACATAGACCAATGGAGCAAATTAAGAGAACCCAGAAATAAATTCATACATCTACAGTGAACTCATTTTTGATAAAGACGTCAAGAACCTTGGGAAAAGGAATGTCTCTTCAATAAATTGTGCTGGGAAAACTGGATATCCTTATGCAGAAGAATGAAACTAGACTCTCTCCCCTTATAAGAAAATCAAATCAAAATAGATTAAAGACTGAAATCTAAGACCTCAAATGAGGAAAATTCTACAAGAAAACATTGGGGAAACTCTCCAGGACATTGGTGTTGGCAAAGACTTCTTTTTACGTTATTACTCTCGTTTTTGTTTTTGTTTTTTTCAAACAAGACAGATCACCAAAAATAACATTTTATAGAAAGGGAACCATAACATTACACAGCAAAGTATAGCTGTAAAATCTCAAACAAGAAAGGCAGTGCTTTCTTTCAATCACCAAAACTAATGTTTTACAGAGAGCAAATTGTTAGAAGGAAATGTATAGCTGCAAATGTTCTTTTGCCATCAATATTGATTCCCTTTAAAATACTTTGAGACTATTTTGTGGTTTCCAAGTACAAACTAAACATTGGTGGACAGAGTTGCTCAGCTTCATCAAAAGAATGAAACCAATTTGCAAAAGAAGTTTTGTTTGATGGTAACAAATAACAAAGGAATGTGGTTCTTGCTAATTAACTGCAACGTTTATTAAAATGGCCTAACCTATGTACTCTTCTGTGAACATTTCACTGTGAGCACAGTTGCTTTTTTCCTGCCATCACACATGGCCTGCACAGTAGCAAGTGTTGTGTCAGAGCACTTTCAGGCACCCAGGAAATAATTCCTAACAGAATAGCTACATTATGTGGGCAACTCAAACAACAGGGGCCACCTCTGTCAGAGCCACCAAGTGGGCATTGTATTTGTACTCTGGGTAAAGACCCACCACCTTGATGGCTGTTCATCTGGAACCCAGAGCGCCAAGCTAGACAGAGCAGTTGTTCTTAGAGAACCACCAACACTTTAAGAAATTGCCCAGGGATTCTTGATGCTGTAACGCACCTCACAGGCAGCGGCATAAGCTGACTCTGGGAAAAAGTCATCATGGTATTCTGCTAAAAACCTCAAATAGACATCAGAGTGCTCAAAAAAGTCCAGATTTTTCTTAGAAAAGAACATCTTTCCAAGGATGTCTGGAAGTTTTATAAACAATCGCAGCAAATGTAAATGTAAGAGGGTGGAGACAGCTGGTCACTTGGTGGGTAATTGTCAGGCACAGCCTTCCAGGAGAGGACCTCATTCATTTCATTAGTTTTTCTCCTTTCAGAGCCAGCAAACACGGCACTCCCTTCCTTGCTAGGAGTCAGAGGAATAGGTGAAGATGATCTGCCAAGCACAGATGTCTTCTTTTCCAGGAGCAGGAGCAGCTTGGGCATGCTGGCGGATGTGTCCTGTTGCCAGTGCTTGGGCTGAGGTGAGGTGCTGCTCTTAGAAAGTCTGTCACAGTTGGCAGTGTGGCACATGGACTGCCTCAGAGACTGCAGTGCTTCCAACTCAGCTCTGCACCTTTGCTGGTTCACCAGTGGTTGGCTGACTCTGTGGACTGTCACATGGATGGATGGATTCAACAGAGGCAGGCTGACGGAGAGTTCCTCCTGGCTCCTACTGGTGTTTGTGGCACTTTACTTAATTGGGAGAAAAAATTTAGACAAAGTCACCTTTTTTTTTTGAGACCAAGTCTCACTCTCTGCTGAGGCTGGAGTTCAGTGGTGTGATTTTGACTCACTGCATCCTCTGTCTCTCGGGTTCAAGCTCTTCTCCTGCCTCAACCTCCCAAGTAGCTTGGATTATAGGCATGGGCCACCATGCCTGGTTAATTTTTGTTTTTTCAGTAGAGAGGGAGTTTCACCATGTTGGCTAGGCTGGTCTTGAACTCCTGACCTCAGGTGATCTGCCTGCCTCGGCCTCCCAAAGTGCTGAGAATACAGGCTTGAGCCACCGTACCTGGACTTTTTTTTTTTTTTTTTTTTTGAGACAGAGTCTTGCTCTTGTCACTCAGGCAGGAGTGCCGTGGTGCAATCTCAACTCAGTGAAACCTCTTCCTCCTGGGTTCAAGTGTCAAGCGATCCTCCTGCCTCAGCCTCCCAAGTACCTGGGATTACAGGTGCCCACCACCATGCCTAGCTAATTTTTGTATTTTTAGTAGAGATGGGCTTTCGGCCACATTGGCCACTCTGGTCTTGAACTATTGACCTCAGGTGATCCACTTGCCTCGGCTTCCCAAAGTGCTGGGATTATGAGCATGAGCAGCCATGCCCAGCAAAGTTACCTTTTTTTTCTTTTAATTTTTTTTATTGCATTTTAGGTTTTGGGGTACATGTGCAGAACATGCAAGATAGTTGCATAGGTACACACATGGCAGTGTGTTTTGCTGCCTTCCTCCCCTTCACCTACATTTGGCATTTCTCCCCAGGCTATCCCTCCCCAGCTCCACCCCCTGCTGTCCCTCCCCTATTCCCCCCAATAGACCCCAGTGTTTAGTACTCCCTTCCCTGTGTCCATGTGTTCTCATTTTTCCTCACCCGCCTATGAGTAAGAATATGCGGTATTTCATTTTCTGTTCTTGTGTCAGTTTGCTGAGAATGATGTTCTCCAGATTCATCCATGTCCCTACAAAGGACATGAACTCATCATTTTTGATTGCTGCATAATATTCCATGGTGTATATGTGCCACATTTTCCCAATCCAGTCTATCATTGATGGGCATTTGGGTTGGTTCCAGGTCTTTGCTATTGTAAACAGTGCTGCAATGAACATTCGTGTGCATGTGTCCTTATAGTAGAACGACTTACAGTCCTTTGGATATATACCCAGTAATGGGATTGCTGGGTCAAATGGAATTTCTATTTCTAGGTCCTTGAGGAATCGCCACACTGTCTTCCACAATGGTTGAACTAATTTACACTTGCACCAACAGTGTAAAAGTGTTCCTATTTCTCCACATCCTCTCCAGCATCTGTTGTCTCCAGATTTTTTAATGATCGCCATTCTAACTGGCATGAGATGGTATCTCAATGTGGTTTTGATTTGCATCTCTCTAATGACCAGCAATGATGAGCATTTTTTCATCTGATTGTTGGCCTCATGTATGTCTTCTTTTGTAAAGTGTCTGTTCATATCCTTTGCCCATTTTTGAATGGGCTTGTTTGCTTTTTTCCTGTAAATCTGTTTGAGTTCTTTGTAAATTCTGGTTATCAGCCCTTTGTCAGATGGGTAAACTGCAAAAATTTTTTCCCATTCTGTTGGTTGCCGATTCACTCTAGTGACTGTTTCTTTTGCCATGCAGACGCTGTGAAGTTTGATTAGGTCCCATTTGTCTATTTTGGCTTTTGTTTCCAATGCTTTTGGTGTTTTGGTCATGAAGTCCTTGCCTACTCCTATGTCCTGAATGGTTTTGCCTAGATTTTCTTCTAGGGTTTTTATGGTGCCCGGTCTTATGTTTAAGTCTTTAATCCATCTGGAGTTAATTTTAGTGTAAGGTGTCAGGAAGGGGTCCAGTTTCTGTTTTCTGCACATGGCTAGCCAGTTTTCCCCACACCATTTATTAAACAGGGAATCCTTTCCCCATTGCTTGTTTTTGTCAGGTTTATCAAAGATTGTATGGTTGTAGATATGTTGTGTTGCCTCCACTGCCTCTGTTCTGTTCCATTGGTCTATATCTCTTTTTTGGTACCAGTATCATGCTGGTTTGATTATTGTAGCCTTGTAGTATAGTTTGAAGTCCAGTAGTGTGATGCCTCCCGCTGTGTTCTTTTTGCTTAGAATTGACTTGGCTATGCGGGCTCTCTTTTGGTTCCATATGAAGTTCATGGTGGTTTTTTCCAGTTCTGTGAAGAAAGTCAATGGTAGCTTGATGGGGATAGCATTGATTCTGTAAATTACTTTGGGCAGTATAGCCATTTTTACAATATTGATTCTTCCTAACCATGAATATGGAATGTTTCTCCATCTGTTTGTATCCTCTCTTATTTTGTTGAGCAGTGGTTTATAGTTTTCCTTGAAGAGGTCCCTTATGTTCCTTGTTAGTTGTATTCATAGATATTTTATTCTTTTTGTAGCAATTGTGAATGGCAGTTCGTTCTTGATTTGGCTTTCTTTAAGTCTGTTATTGGGGTAGAGGAATGCTTGTGATTTTTGCACATTGATTTTATATCCTGAGACTTTGCTGAAGTTGCTTATCAGTTTCAGGAGTTTTTGGGCTGAGGCGATGGGGACTTCTAGGTATAATATCATGTTGTCTGCAAATAGAGAAAATTTGGCTTCCACCTTTCCTATTTGAATACCCTTTATTTCTTTTTCTTGCCTGATTGCTCTGGCTAGAACTTCCAGTACTATATTGAATAGGAGTGGTGAAAGAGGGCATCCTTGTCTAGTGCCGGATTTCAAAGGGAATGCTTTCAGTTTTTGCCCATTCACTATGATATTGGCTGTTGGTTTGTTGTAAATAGCTTTTATTACTTTGAGATACGTTCCGTCAATGCCAAGTTTATTGAGGGTTTTTAGCATAAAGGGCTGTTCAATTTTGTCAAATGCCTTCTCTGCGTCAATTGAGATAATCATGTGGTTTTTGTTTTTGGTTCTGTTTATGTGGTGAATTATGATTATAGACTTGCGTATATTGAACCAGCCTTGCATCCCCAGGATGAATCCTAGTTGATCATGATGGATAAGTTTTTTGATGTGCTGTTGCAGTCGGTTTGCCAGTATTTTATTGAAGATTTTTGCTTCTATGTTCATCATGGATATTGGCCTGAAGTTTTCTTTTTTTGTTGAGTCTCTGCCGGGTTTTGGTATCAGGATGATGTTGGTCTCATAAAATGATTTGGGAAGGATTCCCTCTTTTTGGATTGTTTGGAATAGTTTCAGAAGGAATGGTACCAGCTCCTCTTTGTGTGTCTGGTAGAATTCAGCTGTTAACCCATCTGGACCTGGGCTTTTTTTGTGTGGTAGGCCCTTAATTGCTGCCTCGACTTCAGACCTTGTTATTGGTCTATTCATAGTTTTGGCTTCCTCCTGGTTTAGGCTTGAGAGGACACAGGTGTCCAGGAATTTATCCATTTCTTCCAGGTTCACTAGTTTATGTGCATAGAGTTGTTTGTAATATTCTCTGATGATGGTTTGAATTTCTGTGGAATCTGTGGTGATTTCCCCTTTATCATTTTTTATTGTATCTATTTGGTTGTTCTCTCTTTTCTATCAGTCTGGCTAGTGGTCTATTTTGTTGATCTTTTCAAAAAACCAGCTTTTGGATTTATTGATTTTTTGAAGGGTTTTTTGTGTCTCTATCGCCTTCAGTTCTGCTCTGATCTTAGTATTTCTTGTCTTCTGCTAGGTTTTGAGTTTTTTTGATCTTGCTCCTCTAGCTCTTTCAATTTTGATGATAGGGTGTCAATTTTGGATCTCTCCACTTTTCTCATATGGGCACTTATTGCTATATATTTTCCTCTGGAGACTGCTTTAAATGTGTCCCAGAGATTCTGGTATGTTGTGTCTTCGTTCGTTGGTTTCGAAGAACTTCTTTATTTCTGCCTTCATTTCATTGTTTATCCAGTCAACATTCAAGAGCCAGTTGTTCAGTTTCCATGAAGCTGTGCGGTTCCAAGTTAGTTTCTGAATTCTGAGTTCTAACTTGATTGCACTATGGTCTGAGAGACTGTTTGTTATGATTTCAGTTGTATTGCATTTGCTGAGCAGTGCTTTACTTCCAATTATGTGGTCAATTTTAGAATAGGTGTGATGTGGTGCTGAGAAGAATGTATATTCTGTGGATTTGGGGTGGAGAGTTCTGTAAATGTCTATCAGGTTTGCTTGTTCTAGGTGTGAGTTCAAGTCCTGGATATCCTTGTTAATTTTCTGTCTGGTCGATCTGTCTAATATTGACAGTGGAGTGTTAAAGTCTCCCACTATTATTGTGTGGGAGTCTAAGTCTCTTTGTAAGTCATTAAGAACTGGCCTTATATATCTTGGTGCTCCTGTATTGGGTCCATATATATTCAGGATCGTTAGCTCTTCTTGTTGTATTGATCCTTTTACCATTATGTAATGACCTTCTTTGTCTCTTTTGATCTTTGTTGCTTTAAAGTCTATTTTATCAGAGACAAGGATTGCAACTCCTGCTTTTTTTTTGCTCTCCATTTGCTTGGTAAATCTTCCTCTATCCCTTTATTTTGAGCCTTTGTATATCCTTGCATGTGAGATGGGTTTCCTGGATACAGCACACTGATAGGTTTTGGTTTTTTATCCAATTTGCCAGTCTGTGTCTTTTGATTGGTGCATTTAGCCCATTTACATTTAGGGTTAATATTGTTATGTGTGAATTTGATACTGCCATTTTGATGCTAGCTGGCTGTTTTGCCTGTTAGTTGATGCAGATTCTTCATTTTGTTGATGCTTTTTAGCATTTGGTATGTTTTTGGAATGGCTGGTACTGGTTGTTTGTTCCTTTCTATGTGTAGTGCCTCTTTCAGGAGCTCTTGTAAAGCAGGCCTGGTGGTGACAAAATCTCTGAGTACTTGCTTGTTTACAAAGGATTTTATTTTTCCTTCACTTCTGAAGCTCAGTTTGGCTGGATATGAAATTCTGGGTTGAAAGTTCCTTTCTTTAAGAATGTTGAATATTGGCCCCCACTCTCTTCTGGCTTGTAAACTTTCTGCCGAGAGATCTGCTCTAAGTCTGATAGGCTTCCCGTTGTGGGTGACCTGACCTTTCTCTCTGGCTGCCCTTAGTATTTTCTCCTTTATTTCAACCCTGGTGAGTCTGACAATTATGTGCCTTGGGGTTGCTCTTCTTGTGGAATATCTTTGTGGTGGTCTCTGTATTTCCTGGACTTTAATATTGGCCTGCCTTGCTAGGTTGTGGAAATTTTCCTGAATAATATCCTGAAGAGTATTTTCCAGCTTGGATTCATTCTCTTTGTCACATTCTGGTACACCTATCAAACGTAGGTTAGGTCTCTTCACATAGTCCCACATTTCTTGGAGACTTTGTTCATTCCTTTTTGTGCTTTTTTCTCTAATCTTGGTTTCTCGTTTTATTTCATTGAGTTTGTCTTCGACTTCTGATATCCTTTCTTCTCCTTGGTCAATTTGGCTGTTGAAACTTGTGCATGCTTCACGAAGTTTTCGTGTTGTGTTTTTCAGCTCCTTCAATTCATTCATATTCCTCTCTAAGTTGTCCATTTTTGTTATCATTTCCTCGAATCTTTTTTCAAATCTGTTTTCGAGGTTCTTAGTTTCTTTGCATTGATTTAGAACATGTTCTTTTAGCTCACGGAAGTTTCTCATTACCCACCTTCTGAAGTCTGATTCCATCATTTTATAACACTCATTCTCTGTCCAGCTTTGTTTCCTTGCTGGTGAGGAGTTTTGGTCCTTTGTAGGAGGCGAGGTGTTTTGGTTTCAGGTGTTTTCCTCCTTTTTGTGCTGGTTTCTTCCCATCTTTGTGGGTTTATCCACCTGTCATCTGAGTAGTTGCTGACTTTTCGATTGGACGCCCAGATTGTTGATGATGAAGTATTTCTGTTACTTAATTTTCCTTCTAACAGTCTAGCCCCTCTCCTGTAGGACTGCTGAGGTCCATTCCAGGCCCTGCTTATCTGGGGTACACTTGTAGCAGCTGCAGAACAGTGAGGGATGCTACCAGTTTCTTCTGCTATCTTTGTCCCAGAATGATGCCCACCAAATGTCAGTCTGATCAGTCCTTTTTGAGGTGACTCTTTGGATATACAGGGGTCAGGGAGCTGCTTGAGGAGGCAGTCTGTACTATATAGGAGCTCAAGTGTTGAGCTGTGTGCTCCGTTGATCATTCAGGGCTGTCAGGCAGGTGTGTTTAAGTCTGCTGCAGCAGAACTCATAAAACCCCTTTTTTTCCTCAGATGCTCTGTCTCAGGGAGTTAGGGCTTTCTTTATGAGTATCTGTTGCACTGTCCTCCCCAGCTAGGAGGCAGTCTAGTCACTATTTGCCTGCCGAGGCTCCACCCGGCTGCCGTGGGCTCCGCCCTGTTGCCGTGGGCTCCGCCCTGTTGGCAGAGTCTCTCTGTTATGGCGAGTTGCCTCAGCAACGGCAGGCTGGGAGTGTACCTCAGTAGGGGCGGAATGCCTCGGTAATGGCAGATGCCCCTCCCCCACCGAGCTGCACCGTCCTGGGTTCAGCTGTGCCCGCAGTGAAACTCTCAATCCCGAGCGTTTTGAGTCGCTGTTTTGTTTGTCCCTGTGGGGTTGGGACCCGCCAAGCCTGATCACCTGGCTCCCTGCCTCAGAGCCCTTTTTTTTTTTAAGTTTAATGGTTTACTCTTTCCCAGGTGTTTCAGTCGGCTGCTAATAGGGCACCGGGATCTGTGTGATTTCCCGTGCAGCGACCCACTGCACCGGCTCAAATGTCGCTTCCCAGGAATCTCCTGGTCTGGCTCACTGTCCAAGTCCCGTTTAATCAGTTAGATATGCTAATCTGCCCTCCCAAATCTCAGATTGCCGGTTTAACAGGGCACCCAGACCAGTGCGTTTTGTGCAGAGTGCCGCTGCGCTGTGGCGCCGGCCAAAACGGCCGCACCAGCCAAAACAGCTGTGCTGGCGTCCCGTGTCTCTCCTACACCTGGGAATTTTCCCGTTCTGTGGGCAACAAAGATCAGTCTGGAAATGTGGCTTGCACTCACCCTCTGTGTCTTCACTGAGAGCTGCAATCCTGAGTTGCTCCTACCGCACCATCTTCTTTTTCCCTGCAAAGTCACCTTTTTATACTGAGCTTATTCATACAGATAGAATAAAGCCAGTGGTAGAGTGTAATCAAATGTTATTCTTAATCCATCCACCATCTTTACAAAGGTCACATTCTTTTCTTCTGGGATATAATGCACGTTCATGTTGGCATGTGGCATAGCGTGATGGTGACTAGGCCTCTCATTGGCTGAAAAGGCTGCATTCATGGCAAAATGCTTGACATAGGATTCCAAAATCATTATGGTGTTATCTGGCATGAAAGTTTCACTAGCATTACCTCCTGTTAATGTAATAACAATCATCCTTCTGCTGCCTCAGCACTTCAGGGATTTCTATAGTTACTGTTCTTTCTTCCATTTCTCTTTTTGTTTGAAGCTCTGGTTCTTTCACTTCAGTCTTTTCTTCAATAACACTTTCTTTACTTACTTCTTTATCCTTGTCTTTGCTGCTGTCAGAGGAACTGCTTAATGAATTTTCATCACTTTCGTCTTTTTCTTCAGTAGAGACGCCTTTTAAGACAGAGTCAGTCGACACCAGGCAACCTTCAGCACTTCTTCTTTCTTCCTGTGCTCCTCAGGCGAGCTATAGCTTTTCTTGCCAATTTATGCTGTAACCTGTGATTTTCTTTGGTATCACAAAGCACATGATCTACAGCCCATTTATCCCAGCTTCTGTTCCAACCATTATAATGGATCAGATATTCTGGAATCTTTCTGCCTTGTCTTTCCCAACAATAACCTTAACAGTCTGGGTCTGATGGCAGGGTGTCCCACAGGAGTGCACACAGCACTGGGCCACATGAGGAGAGATTTAACATGAAGACAGAAACTGTAGTCAGAAGGCCCCTTCCACTGGCAGCCTGCAATGGTGTCGGGGGTGCAAACATAAACAACAAAGCACCCGTGACATTCCCCACCACGTGTGAGTGGCCTGGCCCAAAGATTTCTTGAGTAATACCCCACAAACACAAGCAACCAAAGCAAAAATGGACAAATGGGATGACATCAAATGAAAAAAACTTCTGCACAGCAAAGGAAACCATCAACAAATTGAAGCGACAACCTACAGAATGGAGAAAATACTTGCCATCTGACAGGGGATTCATAATCAGAAAATATAGAAGGAGCTCAAACAACTCAAGAAAAAATCTAACACTCCAATTTGAAAATGGGCAAAAGATTTGAACAGACATTTCTTTTTTTTTCTTGTTTTTATTTAATTTTCTCATGTCACCCAACCCCAGACATTTCTTAAAAGATACAGATGACAAATGGGTATATGAAAGGTGCTCAGCATCATTGATCATCAGAGAAATGCAAATCAAAACTACAGTGAGATATCATCTCACACCAGTTAAAACGGCTTTTATGCAAAAGACAGGCAACAACAAATGCTGGAGAGGATGTGGAGAAAAGGGACCCTCGTACACTGTTTGTAAATTAGCACAACCACTATGGAGAACAGTTTGGACGTTCCTCAAAACACTAAAAATAGAATGACCATATGATCCAGCAGTCTCACTGCTAGATATATACCCAAAAGAAAGGAAATCAGCATATCAAAGAGCTACTTGCACATTAATGTTTATTGCAGCACAATTCAAAATAGCAAACATTTGGAAACAACCTAAGCATCCATCAACAGACGAAGGAATAAAGAAAATGTGGTACATACACACATGGAATACTATTCAATCATAAAAAGAATGAGATGAGATGAATGAGATGAGATCCTGTCATTCGCAACAACATGGATGGAATTGGAGAACATTATGTTAAGTGAAATAAGCCAGGCACAGAAAGACACAGTTTTCACTTATTTGTGGGAGCTAAAAAATATTGAAACACTTGAACTCAAGGAGGTAGAGAGTAGAATGATGGTTAGCAGAGCCTAGGAGGGGTAGTGGAGTAGGAGGACAGTGGGGATGGCTAATAGGTACAAAAAAAATTAGAATTAATAACATCTAGTATTTGATAACACAACAGAATGACTACATTTAACAATAATTTATTATACATTTCAAAATAACTAGAAGAGTATAATTGGATGGTTTGTATTATAAAGAAGGGATAAATGCTTGATGTGATGGATACCCCATTTACCCTGATGGAATTATACATTATATGCCTGTATCAAAATGTCTTATGTACCCATAAATATATATTGGTTATCCATATGCAATATGGATATATGGACTACATATCCACAAAAAAATTAAAAAGTAGATTAATAAAAATATTAAAATTGTATTTAATTATCTTTTCTTTTTTTTTCTTTTTTAAGATGGAGTCTCACTCTGTTGCCTAGGCTGGAGGGCAGTGGCATGATCTCAGATCACTGCAACCTCCGCCTCCTGGGTTCAAGTGATTCTCCTGCCTCAGCCTCCCAAGTAGCTAGGACTACAGGTGCCGACCACCACACCTGGCTAATTTTTATATTTTTAGTAGAGATGGAGTTTTCACCATGTTGGTCAGGCTAGTCTTGAACTCCTGACCTCAAATGGTTCACCTACCTCCACCTCCCAAAGTGCTGGGATTACAGGCGTGAGCCACAGCACCGGCAATTAAGTTGATCTTTTCTGTAATGATGTCTTGCATGGGTATTAAGGTTAGAAAATGCTTTCTTTCAGCTGGGCATGATGGGTGGATCACAAGATCAGAAGACTGAGACCATCCTGGCCAACACTAGGTGAAACCCTGTCTCTACTAAAAATCCAAAAGTACTGGGGGTGGTGGCACGTGCCTGTGATCCCAGCTACTTGTGAGGCTGAGGCAGGAGAATCACTTGAACCAAGAAGTTGGAGGTTGCAGTGAGCCGAGATTGCACCACTGCATTCCAGCCTGGTGACAGAGTGAGACTCTGCCTCCAAAAAAAAAAAGAAAGAAAAAGAAAATGCTTTCTTTCTGCCACAGTTATATAATATTCACCTATATTGCCCACTAGTCGTCTTGAAGCTTCATTTTTATGATTATTTATTTCATCAGCCAAGATTCAGTGAAAGATTTGAGAAAGGGCTACAAAAAGAGATGCTAGTTAACCAGCATGACCCAGTATGGTGCTGCCTGTGCTAGCTGTCTACGCCTATCTATTCTGAGTAACAGTGTTCATGCTGAACTGAAGATTAAATATTTTTGTCATTCCTGGATATTCACAACTGTTCCACCAACACCAGTCATTGAATAATATTTTCCCCATTTCGTTCATTGATTCATCCAATAAAAATATATTGAGCTGTTGAAGATACAGCAGTAAACAAAAAAAATTCCCAACAGTTATGGAACTTAACAGTCTAGTGGGCCAGACAGACTAGAAACAATATATAGTGGCTGGGCACAGTTGTTCACACCTGTAATCCCGGCACTTTGGGAGGCTGAGGCGGGTGGATCACGAGCTCAAGAGATTGGGACCAGCCTGGCCAACATGGTGAAACCCCATCTCTACTAAAAATACAAAAATTAGCTGGGTGTGGTGGTGCATGCCTATAATCCCAGCTACTCAGAAGGCTGAGCCAAGAGAATAGATTGAACCTGGGAGGGAGGGGTTGCAGTGAGCCGAGATCACCCCACTGTACCCTAGCCTGGGTGACAGAGCAAGACTCCGTCTCAAAAAAAATATATATATCTATGTATATATAGTGTTTGTGTGTCCACACATACATATTTATACTATGTATGTATATGATAGGTGTATCTAGTACGTACATTCTGATCCTGCTCCAACTTTTTGCCTGATATCAGATTCCTATTTGAGTAGTGGAGGATTCGTATAACTAACACCTTTGCCAAATGCATTCCTAATGCTCCTTATCCTGTTTCCTTTTTTCCCTTTAGCACTTATAACAGTCTGATATGTGTATCAGATATATACTATAGATATATAGCTTATTAGATATACCAGAAAATGGCACCATTTTCTGTGCTAGCATTAGTGGCATCAACTATGTTAAAACTTTTGCTCTGAATGAAGAGACTCCCGCAAACAGGCTTTGTGTGAGCAACATGGTTGTTTATTCACCCAGCTATGGGTGGGCTGAGCCCGAAAATGGAGTCAGCGAAGGGTGGTGGATAGGAGTTGGTTTTATAGGTTGTGGAGAAGGCAGTGGAAAATTACAAGTTAGTTTAGTGCGGTTTTTTTCAAGCTGGGAGAGGATCATAGATTTGCAAGCTGGGAGGGGGTTGTAAGGTATGGAGTCACAAAGTTGACCAGCTGGGAGGGGGTTGTAGGGTGTGGAGTCACTAAGTTGGCCAAGCTAAGGCCGGTTACAAAGTCCAAGGCCTTGTCAGTTGAAGCCCAAATAAGAAACAATAGAGAATGTCTCAAAGTTAAGTAGACGCCACAGGGGTTGATCATTTCTTTTTTCATGATCTTCCAGCTACTTCAGGTTTTCTAATTCCAGCAGGCCCTCCAGAGGTGTAGGTGCCATTCACGGGGGTCGCCATGTGCTAAGATCCACGGCATGGTCAGACCTTACAAACTAATCCTTAAGATTAGTTTTGTGTTTATCTGGTATAACTGATGGTTTTATATTTTATATGTATATCTGAGTAGATATATATAATATTATATGTATCAGATATACATGGTGTATCAGACTGTGATAAGTGCTTACGGAAAAAAATTAAACAGGATAAGGAACCTTAGGAATGCCTGTGGCAAGGGTGGGAATTATACTAATCCTCCACTACTCAAACAGAAATCTGATATCAGGCAAAAAGTTGGATCAGGATCAGAATCAGATGGTTCCATGGCAAATTATTTTTCCATTTGAGATTGGAAATGGTAGGTTGATTTAGAAAAGTGATGATGGAGACCAGGTCACGCTAATTGAATGTGCAGATGTTGGATGAGAGAATCAAAACCCTGGAAATGATCTGGGTATTGCCATAGCTACCGAATCTGAAGGGCATGTGTTCAGTTTGGACTCTGAGAGTTAATCCCCAGAGAGATTATTGGTCACTCTCAATGACCTCCATTTATTGGAGTTTTGTCCACTAAACAAAATTTAAAATTTCAGAATCTAGAAAGATGTCTAAGAATATTTTCCTGTCTCTAAATTATTAAATAACTAAAATTTCAGCTAAAGAGGATTTTAGTTTCATGAGTATGTGTGGGGTTTTTTCCCTCCATTTCAGATACAATACCAGGGAGGCAGTGCATGGCTTCCTGTTTCTTCCTGCTTAAGCAATTTGATGATGTCTTGATTTACCTCAATTCATTTAAGGTCAGTATAAAATTATCTATAAGACTTTATATACAAAATACTGTAGGCTGTGTCAGAGAAGGTAAGGTACCCTTAGAGATGACCCATTTTCTTTGGTGGCATTAGTGGCATAGACTAATCCATAAGGTTAATTTTGTGTTAATTGGTATAACTGGTAGTTTTATATTTTATATGTTAATTCTCAATGTGACCTGTTCTTGGGGTGTTTTTCAGAGTTACTTCTATAATGATGACATCTTTAACTTTAATTATGCACAAGCCAAAGCTGCAACAGGCAATACCAGTGAGGCTGAAGAGGTGGGTACCTGCTTTTGAAAGCATTTGAATGATTCTGTCTAAAAAATCCTTGTCTTTTTCTCACTGGAATAAAATGGTTAAGGGTCAAGGGTTAAGGATTATTAAAGATTCCTCTGTTCTTAGGTTGCATTAAAACATACACTGTGGAGAAGGTGCAGTGGCACACACCTGTAGTCCCAGCTTGGGAGGCTGAAGCAGGACAGTGGCTTGAGCCTGGAAGTTTTAAGCTGCAATGCACGATGATCATGCGTGTGAATAGCCACTTCGCTCCAGCCTGGGCAACATAGTGGGACCCCGTCTACTGCACTCCAGCCTGAGCAACATCATGAGACCCCATCTCTTAAAAAAAAGTACAATGTGAATAGACATAGATTTTATAACCATATTAAAATTTTTCCTTTTTAGTAAACTTTATAGAAATATGACATATGTACAGAAAGGTATACAAATCCTAAGTAAACTTTATAGAAATATAATATATGTATAGAAAAGTATACAAATCCTAAGTATACAGCTTGGTGACTATCAATATGTTTATTTACTTATTTGGTTTCTAACTTAATTGTATTTTTGTGGTCATAGAATGTGGTCTGGGCTAGGTGAGCTGGCTCACACTATACACCCAACCTTTTGGAAGGCTGAAAAGTGGGAGGATCACTTGAGCCCAGGAGTTTGAGACCAGCCTAGGCAATATAGTGAGACACCATCTCTACAAAAAAATTTTTACATAGCTGAGTTTGGTGGCATGTGCCTGTAGTCCCAGCTATTTGGGAGGCCAAGGTAGGAGGGAGGATCCCTTGACACTGGGAGGTCAAGACTGTAGTGAGCCATGATCGTGCTACTGCATTGCAGCCTGGTTGACAGTGCGAGACCCTGTCTAGAAAACAAACAAATAAAATATGGTCTGTTTGATGCTAATCGTTTACCCTTTGTTGAGGCTTGCCTTACTGACCGGTGTGTAACATGTCACGTGTGCTTAAAAAGAATACGTATCCTACAGTTGTTAATTACTCTGTTTAAATCTTCTATATCCTTACCAACTTTTTGTCAACTTGTAATATCAATTTCTGGTGTAACATTTTTAAATCACCACCACTTTGCCCTTTACTTTTCTTAGTAGCCTGTATAGAATTTGGTCATCTACAGTGCCACAGTGATCATCAATCTAAGGCCAGTCAATGATGGGTATTTTCCCTGCAAAACCATCCTCATGTCTACTCCCTTTCTTTTCACTTCTTGCAGGTGTTCCGCTTGATCCAAAGTGAGAAGATAAAAAATGATTACATTTACCTCAGCTGGTTAGCTCGGTGCTGTGAGTCTTCTTTTAAATGTTACAAAAGGAGTCTTCTTTTTCTTTTTGGTTGCATAATCTGTTTGGAAATGACATTGAATGTTTTCTGATTTTATTTTGCATTTTGTTCTGTAGAATGAGTGAACACTGAAGTTAAGGATTGTTAATACTACTCAGTAAGAGTTGCCATGTAAATGTGTCATGCAAGTTTACCCTGTGATTATTTCTACTACATAGCATTGATCTAGTACTTACAGCCCGAAAAATATCAGGTTCTTCCTAAAGTCTCGTTCAAGTTTCCAGAGTCTCAGTTTATCGTGTTGTTTGTGAAATGATGTTGTTACGCTAATTTTAACTTTTCACTATCGTTCAAGCCTGAAAAGCAGCAAAATGTCAACATGTAATTTTTTGGTGTATTACAGAACTTAACTTTCTTTTTCTTTCTTTTTTTTTTTTAGAACTTTACTTTCTATCTCTCTCTCGCTCACTATCTTTTCTTGCTCCTTTTTAAACTCAGATTTAAAATGTTGGCCAAGCACAGTTGCTCACGCCTGTAATCCCAGCACTTTGGGAGCGTGAGGCAGAAGGATCACTTGAGACCAGGAGTTCAAGACCAGCCTGGTCAATATGGTGAAACCTCATCTCTACTAAAAATACTAAAATTAGCTGGGCATGGTGGCACACACCTGTAATCCCAGCTACTTGGGAGATTGAGCTATGAGAATCACTTAACCCGGGAGGCAAAGGTTGCAGTGAGCCAAGATCGCACCACTGCACTTTAGCCTGGGTGACAGAGCAAGACTCTGTCTCAGTGCAAAAATAAAATTAAATAAAATGTTCACTGAGTTTTTGTAGTCAGAGGAAAATTTAGCAATCATATCTTCTAAGTAAGGCTGAAACTGTGAGTCAGATTGAATGAATGATAGGTATCCTCTTTTAAGCAGATGAGCAAAATAGGAACTACCAGAAGTCAATCAGTCTGAAAGACATAATTATGTGACTCCTAACTTAAATATATTAAGTATGGTAGAATTCTGGCAGGGAGCCAGCTTAATGCCAACATTGCAAGCTTTCCATGAAAGAGGTATTCTATGATTTCTTTATTTGGAATATAGAACCAAATCCATAGAATAATAAGGTGCAGAAATTATTTTTTGTACATGTAAAAATGACTCATTTGTTTACAAATGTGTTTCCTTTTTCAGATATTATGAATAAGAAACCAAGACTAGCCTGGGAACTTTATCTCAAGATGGAAACCTCTGGCGAGTCCTTCAGTCTCTTACAGCTCATTGCTAACGACTGCTACAAGGTGAGTCTGACTGAGACTAAAGGGAACACTGAAGGTCAGTATCGCATTGCTGCATTGGCTAATATTAGGGGAATTGTCCTACAGACTAAATGGTTAGTAGTGAGAGGATTTGCATAGTGTTTGTTATAAGAGATTCCACTGTGTTTTTTGAGACAGAGTCTTGCTCTGTCACCCAGGCTGACGTGCAGGTGGTGCAATCTTAGCTCACTGCAACCTCCGCCTCCCTGGTTCAAGGAATTCTCCTGCCTCAGCCTCCTGAGTAGCTGGGATTGCAGGCACCCGTCACCATGCCCAGCTAATTTTTGTATTTTTAGTAGAGATGGGGTTTCACAATGTTGGCCAGGCTGGTGTCAAACTCCTGACCTCGTGGTCTGCCTGCCTTGGCCTCCCAAAGTGCTGGAATTACAGGCATGAGCCACCGCACCCAGCCTGATGCCATTCTTTTTATGAATGAACTGAATTTAGAGATAGGCGGTATTTCAGAGATTTATGTGTATATGAAATAATTATTTAGAGAGGAAGTTTTAGATTTTTAAAGACTATGAATCTTTAGGTAGCATTGATGTACAAATACTCATTTGGTAGTTGGAAATTTGGTTCTGAAGTTTAAGAAACATGTCTTCTGAGGCCAGGCGCAGTGGCTCAAGCCTGTAATCCCAGCACTATGGGAGGCAGAGGTAGGTGAATCACGAGGTCAACAGATCGAGACTATCCCGGTCAACATGGTAAAACCCTGTCTCTACTAAAAATACAAAAAATTAGCTGGGCATGGTGGCGCAGCCTGTAATCCCAGCTGCTCAGGAGGCTGAGGCAGGAGAATTGCCTAAACCCAGGAGGCGGAGGTTGCGGTGAGCCGAGATCATGCCATTGCACTCTAGCCTGGGTAACAAGAGCGAAACTATGTCTCAAAAAAAAAAAAAAAAAAAGAAACATGTCTTCTGATATCTAGAGACATAGATTGGGAGTCATCAACATTTAAGTTCAGCCCTGTGTTGCGTAATAATGGGGATAAGATCTGAGAAATGTGTCATTGGGTGATTTCGTCATTGTACAAACATCAGAGTGTACTTACACAAACTTAGATGGTATAGCCTACTACACATTTATGTTGTACTGGCCCGAGCATAGAAAGTCAATACCAAGACAAAAGTATGCCAAATTGCAGGGTCTTTATTGCTGGCGGCCATGGAAGACTCATGTCTCTCCAACCCGTGGCGTCGAAAGGAGGGTGTCAAGAGCTTTTATACCCGTAAAAATCACCTTGAGAGTGAGGGTGAGGGGTGGGAGTGGGGATGAGGGGCTTCAGATTCCGAGGGCTAGTGGATTCTGCAAATCACCTTCTGGGTGGAGATGAGGGTGAGGGGGTTCCAGACATTCCAGTGGATTCCTGGGCGAAGATGAGGGTGAGGGGCTCCAGACATTCCGAGGGCCAGGGGAATTTTGACATTCTGGTTGTTACTTAAGTGGTTCACAAAAGTCAAGATTAGCATTGGTTTACACATTGTCTGGGTAGAGTGGTGATCACAGTCCTTAATTACTTATTCACATTTGGGTTAGAGAGAGCAGTTTCAACAGAAAGCTGAGGTATGGTTGAGGTATGCAGTTTTTTTTTTGTTGTTTTTTTTGAGACGGAGTTTCACTGTTGTTACCCAGACTGGAGTGCAATGGCACGATCTCGGCTCACCGCAACCTCCACCTCCTGGGTTCAAGCAATTCTCCTGCCTCAGCCTCCTGAGTAGCTGGGACTACAGGCACGCACCACCATGTCCAGCTAATTTTTGTATTTTTAGTAGAGACGGGGTTTCACCTTGTTGACCAGGATGGTCTCGATCTCTTGACCTCGTGATCCGCCCACCTCAGCCTCCCAAAGTGCTGGGATTATAGGTGTTAGCCACCATGCCCAGTTGAGGTATGCAGTTTTATCGGGCTTTTTACCATGTGACATTGCCCCCTTGTTTTATTTACAAAAATTAAATCATTGATTCCTCCAACTGGTTAATATTGTTTGTTTGTTCTAAGGACTCATATTGAGACCTTAATATCATTAATTTTATGGAGTCTACCCTAGATTTTATGAACTTGAACAGTCGGTTTAGGAGGCAGGGGCCAAACATGAGACCCAGTAAGAGTAGGGCCAGAGGTCCCACCAGGCCCGTGAGGAGGGAAGTGAGCCAAGGGAACCAGGAAAACATTTTTTGATACCAACTTTCCAAAGCCTCTCGAAGTTGTTTTCTGGTTTCGAGATTCTGTCTGACCAGGGAGAGGCTCTCTCGGATGAGGCGTGACCTATTAGCATAGAAGCAACATTGTTCATTAAGGGCAACATATAACCCCCCTTGTTTTAAGAATAGTAAATCTAGTCCTCGCCTATTTTGGAGGATCATTCCAGCCAAAGACTCAACCTGATCAGTGAGCTGGGAAATGGAGTTTTCCAAGTGGCTTAGGTCAGTATCTATGTGCTGAGAGAGAGTTTTAAAATTTTGGTCCCCAGTTATAAGAGCTGATATTCCAACTGCAGTGGAGCCAGCAATGCCTAATCCAACCAGTAGAGGGATGACGATAGGGACTCGCTTCCACTGGGCAGTAATAATATCTGATGGGGCCAGGAGGTTCAGTCCCTGTTGGCCATCATAAATGTCAACTCTGGGGAGGATGTGTACCGGGGTGCAGAGTATGGGAGCGGAGCTGTTGAACTGGTATGTGGACATGCAGTTGGTGAGGCCAAAAGTGCAGGCTAACCAAGTGGTATCTGGGGCCTGATAATGAAGGTTTTTACCATTAAATGTTACATTGTGGGAGACATTACAATAGTGCCCATAGGGAGAACCTGCAAGGGTGTAATTTGGGGAGTGGTAGCAGTGCCCATAGCCTTCTATGTCTCCCAGGGTTAAATGGAGTGTGGATTGGGAGCATGAAGAATTGGACAGGTTGGCTGGTAATTGGGAAGCCAACCCGGTATAAAATGATGGTTGAGGGTTTAGACAGAGCCAACAGTCTTTTCCTAAATCTGGGTTAGATTTGTTGAGGAGGTGGTGAGCCAAGGACAACAGGTTTAACAGGGTTGCATCCTCTTCAAGCCGAGATGGGGTTGTAGGGGAAGATTGTTGAGAGGGGGTATTGATTATCTGGATGAGGGGGCTTTGTATTTTTAAGGGGGCCTCCTGTTGTTGTATGACCTGGGCAATGGGTCCTATAGGGCAGTTGGGTCTGGGCAGGGTTATACGCTGGATGGTAAAGATGTTTCCCATGTCCCACCCACTCATATATACTCTGAGACCCCAGCTTCGCCCCGTTGTCCATCTACCATCTGGGGTAGTTACAGTTATTCTGAGTGGGTTTCAAGACCCAGTGTAGCATGGGGATGGGGGAGAGTCTCCGTTAAAAGAGATGAAAGAGTCTATGTTTTTGGTATATCCCGATATAGTGGAGATCGTTTCACAACCCCAATGGGGGCAAAAGAATTCATTTAAGTCTCCACAGTTCCATCTTTTCTGTGGGGTGGATCCTGGGCACAGATATAACTCCATGGTCTGGAGTTGTTGCTCTGCCCCTAAACTGCCACACCCGGCAACACCTCCACTTGTTCTGAAATTTAGGTTGGGGCCCAGGAGGGCACAAGGTGTAGGGAGAAGGTAATGGGGTTCTTTGGAATGTATTCCAGGGTTAAATTGACTAAGGTGGATCCCTTCCCAGTTAAGGAACTAACATATGCTCCAGTGGAGCCCTCGGTGATGACCCATTGAGAGTAGGTGGGTTCTGGGGGGGTTTGCTATACGGATTTACAGCACAGATTAGGGTGGCAAGGGTGGTGACTGCGAAGAGCGCACAAGTCTTAGCTTTAGTGAGTCAGGGGATGAGTGTCTGATGCTCCATTGTCCTTCTGGTGGGGCAGTCTTGACGTGGGTGTGATGAATCCAGGCCGTTAGTCCATCCACCTTGAATATGGTGGGTATGGTAAGGATAACCATGTAGGGTCCCTTCCAAAGGGGAATGAGGCCGGAGGTGGCAAATCTTTTAACAAGGACAGAGTCTCCAGGCTGGAAGGGGTGTGTTGGCTGCTCTGCGAGGTCCAGTGGGGTGGGACAGGTGTCCTTAATGAGCTGGTGTATCTGGGATTGAACAGACTGGAGTGCCTGTAAGGACTTAAGGAGTGTATAATTATGGACTTCAGCATGTACGGTATCCACGGGTCTGGGGAGTAAGGGAGGGGGTCTACCAAACGTGATTTCAATAGGGGAGAAAACTTTTTGATAGGGTATGCATCGGATGCGGAGGAGGACAAAAGGAAGCAGGCTGACCCAGTTTTCACCAGTCTCTAGGATAAACTTTGCCAGGGTTTCTTTTAAGGTTTGGTTCATTCGTTTGACTTGCCCTGAACTCTGGGGATGACAGGCACAATGTAATTTCCAGGATATACCCAGGGCCTTGGCTAGGCCCTGAGAAATTTGTGCAGTAAAGGCAGGCCCATTGTCTGACCCCAGTGTTAGAGGGAAGCCAAACGGAGGAACAAGGTCCTGTAATAGTTTTTTTGTGACCACCAAGGCAGTCTCAGACTTAGTGGGGAAGGCCTCAACCCATCCAGAGAACGTATCTATAAACACCAGGAGGTATTTATAGCCATTTGCCAGGGGTTTTATTTCAGTGAAATCTACTTCCCAGTGCTCCCCAGGGCTAGCCCCTCTGAGTCTTACTCCTACCTGGCTAGACCTGTTCCTTCCCAGATTTACTCTGGCACATACATCACACCGAGTAGTAATTTCCTTGATAAGTTCATGTAAGTGGGGAATGTAGTATTTGGCTTTTAGCAGCTCAGTTACTTTGGTCTGTCCTGAGTGGCCTGGTGTGTGTCCTTAACTAGGGCCTGTCCTAGAGCCTCGGGGACCACAATCCTTGTGTCTGGTAGAATCCACCATCCTGTGGAATCTTGTGTGCCCCCTTGTTCTTTAGCAAAGTTTTCTTCATCAGGTGAGTACATAGGGGTGGGGGGCAGAGTTGGGGCT